GAGATTACCCATTCACAACTACCAACTTACTTGGAAGTTCTAGTAGGGGAGGGCATCCCCTTAAACCACCTTTGCCACAGTGTGTTCTACAGAACACTGAAGGAGATATTTTGAGAAATATACTCCCACCTCCCGCCCCATACACATACAACTTGGATATTCACAATGCGCTTTAGCATAGAAAAGACTGCTAGGGGTTCAGAAGCCTCAACTTTGTTTTAACCTACCCTCCCAGTATTATTTGACCACGTTATGTGGCAGCTTTTTCTGAACCGTATTTTACAGATAGCTGTTCTGGAAAGATTGTGCTTTTCTACCAGCTGCGGTTTTGGGAGGAGCATGGGGTGGATTGTGAGTGAGGAAAGATACATTCATTCATACACATAACAATCTTTTGTAAGTGCCTACTGCGTTCTAGGCACTGTGCCAGGCATTGGGAATACAGTGCTGAGCAGACAGACAGCTGCTCTTCACAGAGAACTTACAATTTAGCAGTGAAGAGTGAAAAAGTACAAGAAAGCCAGACAAGTGTATGGCAGGGAAAATACAAAAACTTCAGGAGCACATAATAAGAGCACCTAACAGGAGACAGGAGGGGCTAGAAAGACTTTGCAGAGGATGTGGCATTTGGAGTGAGACCTGAAGAATTGCAGGAAGGTTGGAGTGGTGGAAGGGAGAGTTGCAGCCAGAGGGACTGGGTATGTAAAAAGGAAGAAGAAATGTGTGAGAAGAGGAAACGAAATATGTTTGCTATTAATGGAACCAAGAATATAAAAGGGAGATAAGTTAGAAATTCACTAGAGAGATAATAGCAGTGGCTAATATTTACTAAGCATTTACTATGTTTCAGATGTGTCAGACACTGTGTCACACATTGTATTTCATCTCATTTAACATTCACACCCACACTGAGATAGTTATTAATATTTCCATTTTACAAATGATGCTGAAGGACAGAGAAATTAAGTAACTTTTAAGTAATTTACTGTTATGAAACAGCTAGTAAGTCAATCTGGCTCCTCTAGACCCTGTGTGCTTATCTATTTTGCCATGTTGTCGTATAATTTACAAGATGGTTTCCAGCTCTTAAAGGACCTTGTAAGCCATGACAAAGGGTTTGGACATTTTCCTAAGGACCATTTAAGGATTTTTAAATAGGATCACACTTTGCAAAGGTCATTCTGGCTGCTCAGTAGATTAGAGGGGAGCTAGTTTGGAGGCAAAGGCACCCAGTTAGTCTGGTTTGTTATGATGATGACTCAGGGATGGTCTGAGTAGGAAAGGAGAGAAGGAAATGGATTGGAGATACATTCTTGGCTATAGAATTACTAGGAATCAGTGATTGATTCAGTGTAAGTGGGTAAGAGAATAAATGAGGTATATATTGGTTTCACCATTAGGCAATTGGGTGAGGACTCTTTATTAGTACAAGCTATTAATTAAACCTGAGAAGGAGCAGGTTTTAGGGAGATGATGATGATTTCAGTTTGGGGCTTGTATGGAGGCATAGTCGGACATAGGAATGGCAATATCTAATAGACAGTAGAGAAAATTCATAAGCTTAGGAAAGAAGCCAGAGTCAAAGACAACAATTTAATGCCATCCACACATGTAATAGGAGTTAAGGCCATGTGAATGGATGCCTTTGCTCAGGAGGTGTGTGTAGAACATGAAGGGACAGTCTGTGACTGAAGCCTGGAGAATATCAACATGTATGGAGCCATCAGAGAACAGCCAGTCTGCACAGTAGATTGCCTAGGTATCCTGATAGGTCAAGTCAGCCCTGGTGATCTTTGCATCAAACAGCTACATCTAAAGTTGACCCACTTTCACTGTTAGTTTCATTATTTAAGCAAGCATTTTGAGTACCTGTATGGTATAGGCACTCTGGGGAACACAATGTCACAGTCTGTACCTTCATAAAATTTGTCTAGTAATGAAAATGTGCTACTTAAGAAAGAGGACAGAAGTGATTTGTCCTTATTGAAATTCCCTTAAACTTAGACCAGTATTATAGATACGTTAACCTTCTTTCAATTCAAAATAATGATTCAACGTGTAATAATCTTAAATTGTGCCATTAAGGTAGATGGTAAGACATAGATAAACTATTTAAACCCAGCAAAAAAATTGAGATAATAGGCATGACAGCACTGTAAAAGTATAATGCAAGTGCCATTAGAAAATATAGATACAGAAAATGTTAAGATAATTTCTTGGATGATAGATCTATATAGTGTATTAAAGGAAAATAGGGCTCCATCAGAAACATTTTGAGATAATCGTCAAGAAAGACAAGTATTATGTTATGCTCTTTTATTTTTAGGCATGATGCTCATATGGATTCAGCATGGCATTTGAGTTGTCGTGATAGTGATTATTACAAGGTATGACTAAAGTAATGAGGCTGCTTTCCGCAAATGAAAATCAGCCTCGTTATTTAACGGTCACCTACTTCAGCTATTTTTCCACAGCATTGTATATAAGCTTACACCATTATCTAGATAACAATGAAATATCTACTCTCTTAGTAAGGGAAATAATGGACTTAGTTGTTATTAAAGAAATTACATTTAAACACAGGTTTCAGTGAAGTTTACTTTCTTTTAAATACAGCTTTTCCCATTCAAAGTTGTTGAAATTAGTTCTGACATTTATTTTAATGATTCTCCATTCCCCATAAAGAGTTGACCTGGCACAAGTAGCAGTGTATGCTACTTATGTGGTTGGCACAAAAAGTCTATTTTTTTTTTTTCTCTCCTTCAGAGAAATCTGTATAGCCAAGGTAGGGGTGGGGTGGGGTGTGTGTGTGTTGCCAAATTAACCTTATACCTGGCATATAAAAGTGAATCAGCTTCTTAAAACACAGTACTGTAGCATCTTAGTAATAGAGGAATTCTAAATTACACTACATCCATTTTCTTCTCACTTTTAAACCATACAATACATAATTTCTTTTCTCTCTAGTCTGCTGTACATTGCTGCTGCTAAAATGATTTTCCTAAACATATATCTAATCCTGTCATTCCTGGGAGGCAGGATCTATGAATTTTGTATTTCTGTTCAAGCGACTTGACCTTTCTGAGGCTGTTTCCTTGTCTCTACAAAGACAGAGTTGATGATTAAGCCTTCTTTCACTTCTAAACTGTTGTAATGCCAAAGCTCTCCATCTCTGCAAAAATGAAGTGCACACTCCAAAGTATGGTCAGATCACTCTTGCTACCCTCTCATCTCATCACTCTCATGCGTTCTACAATCTTCTGACTCAACCAACCATTCCCAGAACCTCTCACGTGCCTTTCTACCTACACACTTTGTTATCACCGTCCCCTCTCTACTGTTTAGATCTACCTATGACAAGCTTTCCCGATCTCTCACCTGAAAGTCTTGCCAGCCAGTTCTTTCTGTTTATTAATAGAGCTACATGTCTTGTATATTGGCACATTCTAGCGTGTATTACTGCTTAGGTACATTATCCTAGATAACCTAGTGTGTTTTAGTTTCCTTTAATGTTGGAACTTTATTCACTTCATGGCTTCTCTAACATCATTTCAGAGTTATGCCCATAATAGGTAAATATTTAGAGGTTTGATTACTTGAATTGCTGCTGAATAGAACCTGTTACTCAAGTAAACAGATAAACTAGGCAGCAATCTTGATTATGTTCCATTAGATAGTAAATTAAATGTCTCCATGTCTCTTCTTATCATAAACTGGTAATACTTATAGCTTTTTTTTCACAGGCTATATGTATTTTTCTGAGGCAAGTGGATGAAAGCATTTTATACATTTACTTAAATGGTAGCTCTTCCACATCAGTAATTTAAAATAAGCAACTCTTTGATTTACTTTTATCTCGCCTTTTTAGAATTAAACGATTATGAAGGCGTTTTTAACTCAAGGTGAGGAGACCTTCTCTTTCAAAATGTTTACATCAAGGAACTCATTTAACCTGTTTTTTTTTAATTCACTAAGAATTTTTAATTTCATTTCTGCTCTTCTTTCTACTTGTCCTTTGGGGATCCCAAAAAGGATTATATCTATAAATTTTTAAAATAAAGCAGTAGGAAAGGTTACATACTTGGAGTTTTACTGTGCATTCAACTTAATCAGAATGCATACATGTTATATAGATATTAACATCTGTATGGTATAAAATCTGGCCACAGTTTAAATGTTAAAAGCAGAATAAATTGAAGTTATATTTAAGGGTCCCCAAATTATGATAACTAAAACTATAATGGAATAACAAAGTGAAAAACCAAAAGTGTTACAAACAGAAAAGGACTCTAATTGAATCTAATCAAATTAAAAATGAGAAGAATGAATAGAGGTGATTGCAATTGCGAATTACTCAATACAAAGAAAACTTAGTTACTTAAGCTGTTTACTTTTAAAGTTAAATGATTATAACTTTGACAGCCTTCCCCAAAGTCTAAAGTAGACAGAGAAAAATATTAGTTTCAATTGTCACTGAAACTAATATAATAAACTTTATAATGACTAAATTGTTGATTTTGGAAACATTAAGTGATATGAAATTTCAAGAAAATAAATTTAGGTCAATAGGATGGCTTGCCATACCTTTGAGGGTCACTCGACAACCTGAGGCAATTGTCGGGGATACTCCATTCCTTTCTCTCACATTTTTCTCATTCCGTCATTCCTTGAATCTTTGTCCCCACTTTTTGTTCTTCTCTAACCTTCCTCTTTTCTCTTCCTTCTTTGCCCAACTGTTACTTTTTTCCCCCCTTTTATGCTAACTACTTTATTAAGGTATAATTTACATACGTTATAATGCATAAATCACAAATGTACAGCTTAAAGAATTATGTATATATCTACCTATCACCCAGATCAAGATTTTGAATATTTTGATCACCCCAGAAAGTTCCCCAGAAATGCCTCTGTCATTTCTCCCCTCCCCTGTCCCACCCACACCCCGCCACTATTGTTTTAATTTCATTATCCTTTATTCTTTTTCTTGTAGTGCCTATCATGCCTCAGATGGACCAATGATACTGCAGACACTTTCTAGTTTTATAGCTGGCTACAGATCCAGTTTCATAGCTGGCTACAGGGAGCTACAGAAGTTACTGATTCCCTACTGTTGAAGTATATTTTAAGTTTAAACCTCAAAGCAACAAATATTTGTTGAGAACCTCCTAACAACTTTACATTATGCCAAGCACTGAGTTATATGCGAAATTGACTGTGGCATGGTTCCAAATCTAGAGAAACCGACATTCTCTACTCCTTTAAGTTACTGGGAGGTAAAGAACCAGCCGCTTAACCTGTTTCCGTCCCTACTGCTCAAGTTGTTTAACAGAATTCTGGATGCAGAGTAAGTTCTCTACATATTTAACAAATACAAGAAATAAAACCTCTAAAATTTGTTCTTAAATCTACCAGTTAATACAATTTTATTGAAAATCTGTAATGTAACTTCTCTGAAGGACTTGACAAGTGTAATCATTGCCTTTTGTCAAAGAATACTTACATGACAGCAACTCTTCGCAGTATTGAAGTTTGGTGTGATTGAGATTTTTTGGTTTAGTTTTTGAGAAGGCAATTTATTCATATGTTTCAAATTTTAAGCATATAAAAAGGTGCGTAGTGAGTGACATGTCTCTCACCCTTTCTTTCCCTGAACTCAGCTCTCCTTTTCTTCAGATAACCAATGTATATTCTTATAGAGATATTTTTTTGTATATCTCTATCTTTAAATAAAATCCATTTAGAATCTACATTATATGTATATATATCTTTTATACAACATATTATAAGCACTTCTACACCTTGCTTTTTTTCTTTATATCTTAGAAATCATCTTCTATCTTTAAAGTCATCTTCGTTGTTTAAGACTATAATTTGTATAAATTATTTCTACTCTTTTACTATTACAAACAATGCTGCAGTAAATAACTTTGTACGTATGCATTTGTGCAAGTAAATTGAGAGGATGAATTCTCAGATATGGAAGTGCTGGGTTAGGGGAGTATGTACCTTCATAGTTCTGATAGATTTTGTCAGCTTGCTTTTTATAGAGATGGCACTAGCTTACTCTCCTACCAGCAATGTACTGAGTATGTCCCGCCCACACCCTCTTTAACCTTTTCAATCTTTACTGTTTTGATAAGTGAATGTGGAATCCCAGTATAAATTTTTAATGTACATTGCACTTATGAATAAGACTGAGGCTCTTTCCATGTTTCAAAGATGTTTCTGTTTCCTTTTCTGTTTCCTTTTTTGCTCATTTTTTTTTCCTATTCGTTATTTATCTTAGTGATATGCTGGGTTTTATATGGTAGGGATAATTCTCTTTTGTTAGTGCTGTGAGTTGCAAATACTTTTTCGAAGTTTTCATATATCTTTTGAGTTTGCTTTTGGTGGTCTTTGTCATTCAGATTTTTTTACATAGTCAAATTTATACATTTTTGTTCAATGGCTTTTAGATTATAGGTCATAATAATAAAGGAACATTTTGAGGGAGCTTGGCTCTATTATTCTGAACAGACCTAGCCAACTTTAAAGAAAAGTGGAACAAAGAACAGTATGGGAGCATAAGATGGGGAAATGGATAACTTTTCATTGGAGTAAGGGCCTCACAATGTAGCCTTATTGTTCAGTTTGACATGAATTTTGAGTATGTACAATTGAATTGGCAGAGTTCTTATTCCAAGTGACAAAAACTGACTAGTTAATTTAAGCAGAAAAGGAAGGATATCAGGGGAGCTTACAGAATTTAAGCAAAGCCTGGAGAATAAGGCTCAGAAAATAGATAAGACCAAAGGAGGGGAACCCATAGTTAAGATACTGCACAGGCCCAGACCTGGTTAGGACTACTGCCACCGGTGCCACCACTGCCACTAGAAACTGGATCTTGACAGCAGAATGAATTCACTGTCCCCACTTCATTGTGTCACTTGTCTCCGATTTATTGTGTCAGTTGCATCAGATTCAAAGTCCCAGGCAGAAGCATTTAGTTGGCCAGGCAGTCATGAAAATTATAGACAAATAGAACATGAAATCTTAATTTAACCAAAGGCTAGTGAGAAAATAGCTAATAAAGAGTTACTTTATTTAGAGTTACTGTTATATTTCCCCTTTTTTGTGAAAGTTATAACTTTGTTAAAGATGACCTGCTCCGAAAAAGTTGCATATTTTGTTCACTCTAAAAATATGAGATAGTTGAATGATGAGTTTTATCAGCGTCTTTAGTCACAAATGAGTTCATTTTAATACATGCTGACATTAGATCATTTTGGATCTGTCCATTACATTTTTAGTTTGTTGTAGGAATGTTAATGGTGCATTTAGCAGAGTTTTATTTAGTGTTTTTCAGCATCTACAGTTTCTATGGAAACAGACTTAACATTGACCTGGATTCTCTGAGCTTTTTTCCAACATGCAATTATTTATATTGAAAAAGCCTCAAATTTTATTATTAATCCAATTTTATTCCATAGTTCTACTACAGTGCAGCCTACGTGTTTCTACTTTTTGCAATAGAAACCACATTTATGAGAAAAAATGAGATTGAACACAACACTCAAAAACTTCATCAGTGATACATAAAAAATAATAAGAATCTGATAAAAACAGTAGTATAATTTCACAAATGTTAAGTGGTTAAAAGGTACATAAATACTACAATAAACAGGGCACTTTATCTTTTAAAAGACCCGAAGTTTGCTGTGTAAGTGTAGTTCAGAAGAATTGCGCCTGTGAGTTGTTCTGAAGTGATGGTAGGAAGGCAATGATTGAAATCAGAGGTAAAGTTGTCACATCAGATGTGAATGGGCACTGCTCACACGGTGAACTCAAGCTGTTAGAAATGTTTTGAGATGTATCTCTGTGCATGTGTGTATTGTATACCCCTGTGAGGATCAGAGCAACTTGAAGTTTTCTGCATTCACCTAGTGTTTTTCATGGACAAAAGTCACGTTGTGCTCAAATCATTTTCTTATATCAGTTGCATTGAAACAAATTTATGATTTTTAAACAAGCATTATAGCAAGACTGACTGTATTAGAACAACTCAATAAAGTATATTTTAAAGCAAAATTGGAATTGGAAATGAGCAATGTTTTGGCTTCATAACATTAAAGAAATGGTTTGAAAATGATCTTTCTTTCTAAAATCAGCACTGTTTTATATTTGTACTATATTTAATAATAAATTAATAATAAAATTATTAAATTGGGATAATATCTCCATTTGCAAGATTTAGAAGTTAAATGCTCTTCATTAACGAAATAGAGTAATACTATGCTGACCACTAATTTGTCGATGGCAACCCGAACTGGAGGTTAAAATCGGTTTCAACTACATATACACATAATGGAATATTATTCAACCATAAGGAATGATATTCTGATATGTGCTATGGTATGAATGAATGTTGAAAACATGCTAAGTAAAATAAGCCAGACACAAAAGGACAAATATTGCATGATTGCATTTATATGAGATTCCTAGAATAGGTAAATTTTCTGTAGAGACAGAAAATAGAATAGAGATTATCAGGTGCCAGAGGGAAGGGGGAATAGGCAGTTATTGTTTAATGACTACAGTTACTGTCTGAGATGATGAAGCAGCTTTGGAAATAGCGGTGATGGTTGTACACCACGTGGATGTACTTACTGCCACTGAGTTGTACACTTAAAAATGGTTAAGATGGTGAATTTAATGTTACGTATATTTTATCACAATAAAATTGGGTTTAATTTATTTCATCTGTTATTTATATCTTCAATATTACCTGCATATACCAGCAATTATGCAGAGATGTAAATATTTCTAAATATTGATCACACTGGATATGCGACTTTCATTTTATCAAAATTTGAGTGTTGAGTTTTTTTTTTTACAATACCTGGCAATTATTTTTCTGGAATTTTACCAATTCCTTTAAGAGAGTCATTTTTTTTTCTAAGGGAAAGCAGAAAAACATTAACCTGAATGTTCACATATATATCTAGTAAATTAATTATTTTACATATGAAAGATAAGCTAAAGTACCCTGGAATTTCTTCCTTAGTATTATACAATTCCTGGAATGTTTAAGCTATTGATTATAATATCGTATTTCTTGAGTTAGAGAAAAATATGTTCTTAAAGTATTTGTCAAAGTAAATTGGAGTAAATTGGCTTTTCCAATAATTTCTAATAATCATAATAATTGAGTAGTGTTACTAAGTGGGGTCAGGATGTTTTTTTTATTATTATGTGATGAAATTTTTATGTTTTTACTTATTTATATGTCTCCTAAAATGTTATCCAATTGTATTTTAGGTTGCAACAAGGATAGTGTCCGAGCAGGCTGTAAAAAATGTGGCTACCGTAAGTACATTAAAAAATAACATTCGTACAGTGAATCATTCCCTCACTGAACAATGTGATTCCACATCCTGATTTCAGGGCCCTGGGCATAGTCCCTTAGCCCTGTTATTTAGCTCAGGTTTGCAGATGATTCAGAAATTCCTCTGTCAGCACTAAATATTCACTTTTTTTTTCCTGCTATAAACTCAGTAACAGGTGGCTATATAGTTGGTGATTAGCAAAGATATAAAGTACAAGTACAGTAATAGATTTAGGAGTCTGGAGAAAGTATTCCCTTATTCTTTTACTTTTTATCCTTCTAGTTACTAGGCGAAGTAGGAAAAGCAATGAAAACTCTTTATGGAGGGTTTTCCCATTTATTGTATTTACTCTTTACAAAGGTAAGGAATTTAGTCCCTGAATTTCTGCTCACTGACAAAAACTTGATTTAAACAGTCATTAATCTCCATTATGATTAATAGAATGGAAAAGTAAACTTCAACATTGCAATTATATGCTCTGAATTTGTAATTATGTACTATAAACGAGTATTTCTTTCGTTAAATGTAAAATTCCCAAGGTTTTGATAACAGCTGTAACAGTCATATTCACATTTCCTAAGTTGTTTTGGAGACCAAGCAGGTGGGCCTGGATTCTTGTTAATACTCCAATTCTTAGAAGAGTTATTTTTTAACAAAATGAAGATGATTAAAAGAAAAAAGATTTCTATGCCAGACTGTGTGATTAAAAAAAAAAAAAAGCTCTCTGGCCATAGATCTTCATTAGAAGGGCTCCAAATAAAAGCATGCTGGGAGAAGCAAGGTACAAGCTTCCAAGCAAAGGCCAGCACCTGGCTCAAAGGAAACTCAATCAGTTTGCAAAGTGTGCACATAATTACCCATATTTTTCATATAAATAAAAACTCCTGAAGGATACATTTGCCTGCAAGCAATGAATTCTTTTTAGTTGTTTAAATTTGTTTATATTTATTTCTGCTATGTTTACTTTCAAACCTTGCTAATTTCTATGTTTTATTTCTTTATTCAAGACTTAAGAATCTATATATATATGAATGCTGTATTTACTTCAAAATTCAGAATGGATTTCCCAGTTTAACTAATATTAGTTTATCTGTTTGAACTTCTTTTAACTTAAGACTTGTAGGAAAGCAATTAAAATAATTTTGGGGAAGAGACTATCTGTTGAGCCAGTCACCTCATTGCTTTTATTTTAGACAATAATAGAAGCATCTATAGTAATTAGAATTTTTTTTAGAGAAGCCACATAAGGAAATAGTTTTGACAGTCTTTCTAAGTTTAGTTCTTTCTGCTTTAATATTCAGATCTTTGATTTTAGTGATTGAGTTATTAAACAATTTCTAATTTGCCTCCTGTGGAAAAATTTAGTAACATTTTCCTTGGAGTTAAAATCGCATTTTACAGCTTCAAAGATGAAGGTCTTCTCAATTTACATGTCTTTCTGATAGAAACTACATTTTAAAAATATCAGTTATTTGTAGAGGTAAGAGAAAGATCAATAAAACCCTTTGAAATGTTTTTAATGCCTAAAAATGTGGACATTCATCAGTCAGTTAAGAAAGTATTGTCTCTCTATTGTGAAAATAGTGGTTTAGACTGTATCAGTTTAAAGAATGTTAATACTTGATCGAAACATATTTCTCAGTATGTTTTAATAGTGGTTATATTGTTTTCTTAAAAGAAAGTTTCAAGTTAAGAGTGAATGTGTTACTAAATAACATAGATCTCACTTTTTCATGGTCGAGTTTCCTCAGCAAAATTAGAATGGTTATTTCTAAAGTGAGTTTTTGTTTGATTTTTTTTGAAGTTGGCAACTTTTGAATATTAAAAGCTACCAGAACACTAAGCCTTTGTCCATAGAATAAATATCTCAAATAATTATGATAGTTCTCAGAAAATATACTTAAAAGAAATTCAGTAATTCAGTATAATAGACTATAGTTGAGTGTTTGATCACAACAGCTGGAAATAATATACCTAAATCCCTTAAACATTTTATTTAGCTTAAAATGTTAATCTATTGATATACAGTCATCACCTTTTCTTTGCCTTTGGGTCTGCTAATTGGTGTTACACATAGTCTTTTGACTGTGTTCAAATCATATCCGAAATGCATTTTCTACTTTTATAGTTTGTTTCTTCAAAGATGGGGAAACAGTTAAGATACTTGTAAATAAATGAGTGTAGAAGCCTTCTATCATTAGTTCTCAACTAAGGGTGATACTGCCTTCTGGAAATCTATTTTTTTTTAGTCATCTATAACAGGGTAGAAGAGAGCAGTATGACATTTAGAATGTAGGGTCCAGGGATTATGAACGTCCTGCAGTGTATAGGACACTCTTGGACAGTGAAAACTGGTCTGGTCCAAAATGCTATTTACATCTATTTTGAGAAATAGGTACCTTTTCTCATTAAGATTTTTTCCCCCTATCTTTTGCACTCTTCTTTCCAATGCATAATTTGAAAGCTGCTTTTTTTTTTAAGTGATCCATCTAAATCACATCTTTCCAAAAGTACAGCTCTGTTCCGTAGAAACAACCACTCTTTTTTTCCCCCACACTCATCTTGGCCCACGTGGTGTTATTTAAACAAATTTTGTGACAATCAATAACAGACTCTTGGTGAAATACAATACCAACAGATGGAGTAAAATGTATGGGCATTAGCTGAAGAAACAGTGACCAAGGGAGTGCAATGCCAGGAGAAGCAGGAGCAGGCAGCATCACATAAGCCAAAGGAGTGAAGATTTCAAAATTGAGGGAAAATCGTCAGGTGTGACAGACAAATTTTATTTGTAAGAAATAAATTGAAAAGTGTTTACTGGATTTGGCAGTTTGGATGTTTTGCTGACCTTAGATCACTCTAAGTAGAGTTCTGGGTCATGAAACAAACTAGGTAGCTTCAGGCCTGAATAGTGAGGAATAAAAAAGTGGAGAGAACCTGTGTTGCCTCTGTTTTCAAGAAATATACCTGAGAAATGTAGAGAACTGTTGTAGCCCATATTGGCTGCTGTTATAACAAAATTCCACAGGCTGGGTAGCTTATAAACAACAGAAATTTATTACTCACAGATCTAGAGGTTGGAAGTTCGAGATCAGAGTGCCAGCATGGTTGAGTCAGGGCCCTCTACTAGGTCACAGATTTTGTTTTATTCTCACATGGGGGAAAGGGCTAGAGATCCCTTTCGAATCTCTTTTACAAGGCATTAATACCATTCATAAATAATTACCTCTGAAAGGCCCCACTTACTAATATCATCACCTTTGGGGGTTAGAGTTTCAACATATGAATTTGGAAAGAGACACAAATGTTCAGACCATAGCAGAAACATATTGAATAATTCCCAGAAGGGAATGTGGGATAAATGGGTAATGTTCTATTTAAAAAACAGTAGTCCCCCCTTTATCTGCAGGGGGTACGTTCCAAGATCCCCAGTGGACACCTGAAATTGCAAGTAGTACCGAATCATATATATATATATGATTATATCATATGTATAGTCATATGTCATATATACACACACACATATATATATACACACACACACATTATACTATATATGCTTTTTTCCTATACATACATATCTTTTCACTTAAAGGAAAAACTTTATAGTTTTCCTTTGGCATATCTGAATTCCCAGCACCACGACTCTTGTGCCCATTATTAAGTAAAATAAGGGTTAAACACAATCAGTGCAATACTGTGACAGTCGACCTGATAACCAAGACGGCTACTAAGTGAATAACGGCCGGTCACATATACAATGTGGATATGCTAGACAAAGGGATGATTCACGTCCCGGACCTAACAGAGAAGGATGGCACAAGATTTTATCACGCTACTCGTATCAGCATATAATTTACAACTTAGAAATTGTTTACTTCTAGAATTTTCCATCTGATATATTCAGACCGTGATTGACTGTGGATAACTGAAACCACAGAAGGGAACTGCAGATAGTGGAGACTACCGTATAACAAATTTATATAAGCCGGGGGGATGTTAGAGGAGATGTTGTAAATATTGGAGCCAGGAAAAGATTAAACAAGTTCCTTTAAGAGGTATGACATGGCTACCTCTTAAGTTTGGAGGAAATATAGGTGAAAATAGGTATGGTGTTTTCAGGTTTGGAGACAGAAAGTGGAAGGGGACATTGCCCGATAATCTTAATTTTCATCGTAACCTGGGAGGCAGAATTGTCTCTCTGGGAAGGGGGCATTGAGTGGGACAGGGAAGTGGTTGAAGAATGATTTAAGTCAGGTGTAAGTTTGGAAAAGTCATTGGGGGAAATAGGAGAAGAAGTTGACCAAGAATGAATAAAAAATGAAATAGTTTGCGATTGTGCTCAAGTGTTCCCTGGCTGCCCTGGAGTAGGCAGAACCCAGAGGAAGGGTAGCTTTGAGTCAGATTCGTTGTTTTACAGTGAGGTACAGTAGAAAAACAAGAATGTGAAAGAGTCAAAGAGGCTCATAAAAAAAAATGTTCACTTGGTCAGGAATGAGAGATTTGATAGACTAGGAGAAAATTAAGGGATTGAAGGACTGAAGGTCTCGGTAATATTTGCAAATATTTTCTTCCATTCTGTAGGTTGTCTTTTCACTTTCATAATAATTTCTTTGCACAAAAGTTTTAACTTTTGATTAAGTCCAATTTATCAATTTTTCTTTTGCTGCTTGTGCTATTGGTCTTTTATATCTAATCCATTGCCAAATTCAAGGTCATGGAGATTTATCCCTGTACTTTCTTCTAAGAATTTTATGGTTTTAGCTCTTATGTTGTTATGGTCATGGTCTTTGATCATTTTTAGTCAGTTTTTACATATGCTGTGAAGTGAGGGGTTCAACTTTATCTTTTGCATGTGGAAATCCAGTTGCCCAGCACCATCTGTTGAAGAAACCGTTCTTTCCTCACTGAATGGACTTGATACTCTTGTCAAAAATCAGTTGGCCATATATGTATGAGTTTATTTTTGGACTCTTGATTCTGCACTATTAGTATATATGTTTATTATTATGATCGTACCATCCTGTTTCCATTATGGTAGCTTTGTATTGAGTTTTGAAATCAGCAAGTGTAAGACTTCCACCTTTGTTGTTTTTCAAGATTTGGCTATTCTGGGGTTCCTTGAATTTCTGTATGAACTTGAGGATCAGAAATGAAAAAGCCACATCACTTTTTATAATCAGCTAGCACGTTGTTAGAATTTAAAGTGTCTTTACATATCTGTGGTCAAAAATTTAAGCCTTTAGTCACCTAAGAATTTTCTGCTTAAAATCTACTTAGAGTCTGTTTAGAAAAGAAGTCACAAGAACTATAATTTGGAATACAATTATTTTCCAAGCCTGTTCATATATTCCCTAATAGAAGAAAAACAGGAAACTTTATTTGTAGCTTCACAAGTAACTAGTCTTATTATAATCAGTTTAGGATCAGTTTCATATAAGTAAAGCTAAAATGGATATGAGACAGAGCCTGCTGTCAATGTGGTTATTATTTGAGTATTTTATTCATTTTTAATATTCATTACAATATGAGGTGTTTGGGTACAAAGCTAGCTTAAATAAAGGAAAAATTGAATCATCAGGCGTTCTGATCAAAATAGCAACATAGAAAGTCCTTCCTTCTGCTCCGAACAAATAGAGATTCTAGAGAAAAATGTTAGTATCAATAACAACAAAAATAATCCAGTTCAAAAGAATGAACAGGAAATCCCCAGGTACTGGGAATGAAAAGAAGTTCACAGCCCAAGCAGAGAATGATAGCTGAAAACAAACAAGATCTACAGGCCAACCAGGTAGACTTTTATGGGCTACTAGAGTGAAGCCTTAGAGCCCTGTGGGTTGGCAGCACGGCTGGAGTGAAGGCTCTTGCATGGAGCCAGACAGCTCTAAAAGATTGTGATGAAGCAATTAGAAAAATTGCACTCACTTTCTAGAGAAAGTGGTGAAAAAAAAACTTACAATATGTTTTAGTTCCTATAAAATTGTAATTAAAAGAAAAGGAATAATCAAGAATTGGCAACCCCAGCTTACACCGTGTGTATGAGGAGTAAATTTACACTGCCTCTAGTGAGGCAGGAACGATTTTTTCAGGCTAAGAAATTAACATTAATATTGGTCTGATATCAAATTAGATTAAGAAACTTAACCATTATTAATAAAACTATATGAAAAAGTAAAAACTACATAGAAAATTTCAAAATAAAGGAATGGGAGGAAAGAGCAGATAGGAGGTTGAATACTGTTGACATTTAGCTGTTTACTTATAAAAATGGCAGCTTCATATGATTCAGCTATTCATAACAAAGCACTAGCAGAGCAATTTTAATATCAGACTTTTGAAGCAAGAACAGTACTAGGGACAAAGAAAGATTCAAGAACAATCAGCCAAGAAGATAAATTAATAATGTTCTTGAACATGCTTATTAATCTCAAAATATGTATAGCAAAGTCTGTATCACAAGGAGAAATTGACAAATCTGTAATGATGGAGGTACTTAAAAATTGCACTATCAGAAGTTATTAGAGAAAATGAGGTGGAGAAGATTTGAACAACAAAATAGACAGAACTCTATTCAACAAATAGTGATTTATATTCTTTCAAAATACATACGAAATCTCCTCCTAAGTTTAGTATGTGATAGGCCACAGAAGAAATCTCAGAACTGATGTCATATAGACCCCATTCTCTGATAACAGTGTAATAAATTCAGAAATCAGCAAAAGCATAGTCTGAAAACTCCATATGTTTGGAAACTAAAGATAACACTTACCAATGATTCATTTGGAAGCAAATCACAACAGAAGAAGTTTGTTTACAGCATTATGGTAGACTCTGGACCCTCTTGTAAACAACTAAGAAAATGATATAAAATGTGCAATACGTATTTTAGACATGTTAGTGTTTTAGGAAGTAAATAAGAATTAAAGAATACTCAGAGGCCCCAAACCAAAGGAAAGCTGAAAATGTAAAAGGTAAAGTCTTGAGGATACTTGCTGAAGTCAGAGTTATTGAATTTCTGTTTTCATGAGTTGGCAGGGTTCAGGGCCCTCCGAAGATTGAGACTCTAGTAGCAGACACCCTTGTATAAATTGAACTTCTAGAGGACTTCACCTTTAAATTAAGAGAGAACTAGAAATAAACCCTAGCACAGAGTTGTAGTGAATCATTTTGTGGGTTGTGAAATCAGTTATGTGGTCACTGTCTGCACTGTTTTTTGTTGTTTTTTTTTGAAATGTCAAATGTAGTACTGCTTTATGTAACTTTTGTTTGATTTTTGTGTGTTAGTGTGTATTTGTATATGAATGTGTATATGATTATAATTGGTTACATTGTTATTCTTTTACCATCATTCAGTCTTGGTCAAAAAAACTTGGAAGCTGTGCCTTAGAGAAACCATAGCATGTGTGCACAGAAACATGAACAGCTACTCATTTCAGCATTCTTTATAATAGCAAAAGACTGGAAGCAGCCTAAATTCTATCAGTAGTAGAAAGGGTAAATAAATATTTTTATACAATGGAACATTATTCATTAGATAAAATGAGATAATTACGTCTACTTATGTTAACATAGATAACTCACAAAGCATAATATTGAGTGGCAGAAACAAGCTGCAGAATGATAGGTAAGTATAATAGAGTTTATATTTAAAAAAATAATATAACATTATTGCTGTTTGGTAAAGATAGACACCAACTTCAGTATACCAATTTCTGAAGATAAAAAGAGTGGAATGGGATTAGAACGGGTTTCCAAAGAATGTGGCAAGCTCTCTAACTTTGTGTGTATGTACACACACATGCAAGCATTTCCCTTAAAAAATTGTAAGTGAATATGACAAAATGTTAACATGTGGATAATAGGCACTTGGGTATTTATTATATTCTTTCCTGTACTTTTCTGGTGTTTAATTTTTTTTTTTAATTGTATCATGTATAAGTAGATAACTTGTAGTTTTCTTACAAGGAGAATCTTTAGAGGGTGAACGATGTCAGAATTAAATTTTTAGGTGTTCTCTGGAAGAGCACATTCAGTTGTGTTAATATAATACCTTTAATTACATGAAAGCTCTGTAATTTTATGAGTATAGTAGTCAAGTTGAGAAGGAGAAGGTATGGGAAAGGAATTAAATATAAAATTCTACGTATGAGAATATTTTCTTTAGTGCATAAAAAGGGAAAATATAATAATTTAATACCCTGAAAAAAATGCTTGTTGAATTAGAAACCCTGATGAAGAAAGGAAAAATTTCTCTCTCTGCGCATTGCATTCAGAGAAACCAAACTACCACCCATTGAATATAAGTTAAAACTTAACATTATGTTACTAGAATTGTAAGTTGTTGCTTACCATGAGGCAACAAAACAAAAAAATATATAATATATTTATTGTTTTGTCATTCACATTTTTAAATTTTACCTAGCTGGTCACCTGACTTTTGAATGCCGAAATTTTCTTCGAGTAGACCCCAAAAGGGACATAGTTTTGGATGTCAGCAGCACAAGCAGTGAAGAGAGTGATGAGGAGAACGAGGAACTGAATAAATTGCAGGCATTACAAGAAAAAAGTAAGTAATACTTTTTTTCTCTCCATCCTTTAAAAATGTTTTTAAATGTTCTACTCTTTAATGTCATGTTTATCTATTGTTCTGTGGTATTTATCGTTAAGATAGTTTTTCTATTATATGCAAGAGGTGCCACATAGGTGAGTAATAGGCTTTGAACATTCTAAGTAATTTTCCCTAAATCAAACCGCTTATCAGTTATAAAACCAGGAGGCAAGTCTGTTTTTGTTTCCACAATCCAGATTTTGTTGTTGTTGTTCCATCACACTAGGATGTGTCACATGGTACAAAAAGTCTGATTTAAGACTTGGTTTCTAACCCTACTCGGCCATTTTTTAGCATATGACTTTCAGCAAGTTGACCACTCTGACCCTCAATTTCTTTGTGGGGTAACATAAAGGATTGAGTGGTCAGATCACACTCATTCAAATCAGAGCTCTTAGTATTAAGCTATAATAGTAGGTTAAGTATATAAGTGTCAGGAGGCAGAGACAAAGCAGCTAGAGTTCTAGCGCTGCCAGTACGCCTTCTCAGGTACTCTTTTTCTGCTTCAGAATCCACTCCGGCCAAGATTAACATAAGAGGTTTCTACATTACTTATACGAAAGGAAGTCATTTTAATCATGAAACATCTCAGTTTTATGTCTGGATAGTTACATTTTCCAAGGAGCCATGCCCCATAAATCCATAGACTCCAGGATTATTTACCATAAACAATCTTAGAGAAACCAAGTACATCCTGCTATAAGCAGCTGTGAATAAAGATTCTCTAGCCAACAGCTTGATTATGCATTTCTAGCTTTCAGAACTGTGAGAAAATAAATTTCTGTTATTTAGGTTACCTCCAACAAAGAAAGGATTCTCTAGCCAGCCAATCAGTTTGTTTCCTGGAGGTCTGTTATTGGCTTATTTACGAAGAGATTTATTTCCTGTGGCAGCCTCCTTTTTCCTCAAAGAGAAGAGAAATTGCAGACATATATTGTTTAACTATTTCTTTCATGTCTTATGTATAAAATGATCTATCCTTGCAATGGTGTTTTTAGGGATAAAATGTGATGCTGTTTGTAAAAATACATTGTAAACTACAGAATGCCACATGGTAGATGTCACACAGAAGCAAAATGCAAGTTATTCAAATATAGGTTTAGGCATGGGATGAGAGAAATACAAAAGGGTAAACTCATCTTATTTTAGATCAGATAACAATAAACACTTTAACATTTTTTAAGCTTTCCATGTTATATCCAATGAAAATAAGTAAAGAAGTCAAACGCCAAGGTGCTAGGAGAAGTGAGAAGGCAGAAGAGGGAGAGTGTCCCAAAGAGGGCAAACAAAAGTGACATTACGTATGAGCATATGCAGCCTCAGGTACAGCTGCTTGAACGTACACGCTTACTTTTGCTCCCTACTGAAATATCACTGAAATGATAGTAAAAGAATATTTTTTAAAGACATAAACCCACAGGAAGCAATAGTAACAGAATTTTGTTGAAAAGTCAATGTGTTAGTGATAATAGACTGTACATTTGAGAAAGCTAAGTCCTTTAACGGTGTGGAAAGCTGAGACATATCCTGATATATACTTTAAAGCTCCCTAAAGACTTGATAATGAGTATTCTTAGGTACCTTTGTAAGTGAAGACGTACGTAAGTCTAAAATCAGAGGGATTGGTTAAAAATCTGAAGTAGTCAGATTCTCAGTTCCCTTCTCCTACTCTGTAAAGCCAGATGGCTTCACTCCATCACCTCAGTAGACTACTGTAGGTCTATTTTCTAGACAGGGTAAGACAAAGAGTCTTTAAACTGAGACATACCAAACACAGATGATGGTTAGATATAAAATAGTGAGAACTTTGTAGCCATTGTACCTATTTGGTTCCCAGACACTTATCACATGGGCAGAAGATTTGAAGATTCATCTCTGAGAAATATGACCAGTCTAAAAAGAAAGTAGCAAAGATACTAACATCAGGGATTCTTCAAGGACATCGCCTAGCCAGATTACCAGTAAAGTCCAGATTTTCAAGCTTGCTCGCTCAAAGCTTCCAGTCAGCTTTTTAGACAATCAAGGAGCATTAAATTTCTGAGGAAAGACTCTGGTATGAACTATAAATACCAAATCCAGCAAACAAAAAAAAATCAGCTTGAAGGATACAGTTTTTTAAGGGAGGACAAAACTTAAATAATATCCAGTTTCATAGAAAGATAAGATAGAGCATCCACAAAACATGAATAAGATACTATAAAAAGAACAAAAACAACAAAAGAACTTTTTGAAATTAAAAAAGAAGCAGATGTGGAAAATGTGATAGAAGATAAAGAAATCTAAGAAGAACAAAATGAAAAAAAAAAAAAAGACAAGGATCAATTTAGGAAATATTTTATTTAAATAAAGCCAGAAAAAGAAAACAAAAAATTTATAAGAATTAAAGGACATTAATTTCCAGACAAAAAGGTTCAAGTACTAAGCTCAGTGTTAAAAACAGATTTACACAAAGGCACACCATTATGAAACTTCAGATTATAGGAAACAGTAGAATATAATTCAGACTTTCCAGAGTCAAGAGTGAAGGATCAGGAGTCAGAGTAGCTTTGTACTTCTCTAAAGCAATACTGGAAGCTAGTAGATGCTTCCAAATTTTTGAAGGAAAATTATATCCCAATTAGAATGGTACACCCAACCAAATTATCAACCAAGTGTGAAAGTAGGATAAAGGCAATGTCCTTTAAAGACATTCAGAGTCTCAAAAAATTTATCTCTCATATACCCTTTTTTAGAGTATTTATTCCAGAGATTTTCTACTGAAGTCAAGAAGTAGACCAAAAAAAAAGGAAAACATGGAATATAGGACATAGACGAGTATGAATTTTTTTTCATACTCCGTTTTATTTAGCATTATTTAATATTAATCAGTAATTTGTTTAATGTTAGAAGATAGTCATGTCCTCGTATCTCATCTCAATATTTTATGATTTTTTTTAGTTTAATCCAGAAATGTTCTATTTTGACAACTTAGTGGGGTTTTGACTTAGTTTGGTTTTTTTGGTTTTGTTTTATTTGTTTAAGACAGTTTTATGTTAAATTTATACTTGATTTCATTTAAAGTGGTTGACACTGAGAGCTGCATAAGACAAATTGCCCAAATCAGATATTTACATATTGCCATAATTGTTCTCCTTCCCTTTAGTAACTGCTAGAATCAGATTTAACTGAATGACTTATGGTGGTTTCAAGCTTCATAAATATAAGGCTTAAATGAATTCACATGATAATTGGAGTAAAGCTTATATTAGGCTCAAAATGTACTTTTTATGAGACAGCTACAAAAGATATTTGCTAACCAGTTGATAGGAAGACCCAAGAGGGAATGAGAATTTAGATGAATGGGTCTAGGTTCAGAGCTGCTTAGCCAGGTATTTAAGAGCAGCTGGAGTAGCTACAAACCCAGTGATAGATATGCAGACAACAACCTAGTAGCTGAGCCTGCTGGTGCTGCTAGGAAGGGTCTTCTGTCCTATCCCAAAGCAGCATGTAAACAGTGGATCATGACTTCTGACTCCTGTATGTTACATTAGAGACCACCACCCTTGCTGATCATCACAAAATTTCAATGTTAAAGTACATAAGGACCTTGCCTTCTATTTTGTACTCCAGAGTTGGTTGTATTATTTCCAAGAAAATATTATTTTGCAAAAATTCAAATTCTTTTTCCTCCTATGCCTGTATACATTCAACAACATTTATTGAAGGAACCTCAATAAATAAAGGTGTAGTGGTTCTATGAGTTGTAGTATAGAAACACTGAATTATCTAAAATAAATTTTGTCTTCAGTGCTTGAATTCTCATTTCCTATTATTGTCAGTACTGCTAGTTCTTAAGGGTACATGGCTAGGAAAAATATTTCTTGAATTCTAGGATTATTTTGTTTTATTAGAACTAATTTCTCTATGTAATCTAGTCAGTGGAAGAGGAAATTATTCCCATAGCTACTGTTTTATTTGCTTAGTTTCTTTGACTTTTTTTTTTTTTGGACATGTTTACAATAGTCATTCTGAACTTATAGTAGCTACAAAAAAAGACAGCTACTCAAGAGAAAGCTAAAGTGACTATTTTAATGTGAGATCAAGTCGATTTCAAAACAAAGAATATTACTAGGAATAAAGAGAGTTTTTTCATAATGATGAAAAGGTCACTTAGTCATGAGCGCATAAAAGTACTAAGTGTTTATGCACTTAATAACAAAATTCAAAATATATGAAGCAAACCTTGGTAAAAATATCAGGGATAATTTTTGTAGATTCAACAAATCAACAATTATAGTTGCAGATTTCAACACGTTTCTCAATAATTGATAAAACAAACAGTAAATTAGAAAGGATATAGAAGACTTGAATAACACTTTCAACCAGCTTAACCTACTTAACATTTATAAAACACCTCACCCAACAACAGCAGAATACAGTTTTTTAAGTGCACACAGAACATCTACCAAGATGGACCTTATTCTATGCTATAAAACAAGTCTCAATAAATTTTAAAGGATTCAAGTTATGCAAAGCGTGTTCTTTAGCCACAAAGAAATTAAATTAGAAATTAGTAGCAGATAGCTTCTGGAAAATTCCCAAGTATTTGTAATCTAACATACTTCTAAATATCCCATTGGGTCAAAGAAAAAATTCAAAGGAAATTAGAAAGTATTTTGAACTGAATGAAAATAAAAACACAACATAACATTATAGGATGCCCCTAAAGCAGTACTTAGAGGCAAATTTACAGCACTGAATGCCTATATAAGAAAAGAAATGTCTCAAATTTTTAACTTCAGCTTCAACTATAACACACTAGAAAAAGAAGAGCAAATGAAACCCAAAGCAAGCAGAAGAAAGGAAATAATAGAGATCAGAGATGAAATCGAGGAAATGGAAAATAGAAAAACAATAGGGAATATCAGTGAAACCAAAAGCTGGTTCTTTGAGATTTATAAAATTGAAAAATTGCTATCCAAACTGATCTGGTTAAACGATAGCCATAAATTACCAATATCAGGAATGAAATAATGACAATACTACAGATTATACAGATACTAAAATAAGGGAATATTATGAACAACCTCATGCCAGTAAATTGGACAACTTAGATTAAATGGACAAATTACTTGAACAGCACAAACTACCAAAACTTTCAAAAAGAAATAGGTAAACAGAATGGCCTACATCTGTTAAAGAAGTTATAACTTTACTTTTAAAACTTTCAACAAAGAAAACTCCATAGCTGAATGGCTTCTTTCATGAATTCTACTAAACATTTTAAAGGAGAAATAATACCATTTCTAAATAAAATCTTTTAAAAATCAAAGTGGAGATACTTTGCAATTCAATTTATAAGACCAACATTACCCTGATAACAAAACCAGATAAAGATACTACAAGTAAAGTAGACTCCATAAATACAGACACAGAGAATTTTAAGCAATTAAAATAATTTTAGCAAATCAAACCCAACAATATGTAAAAATGATAATATATTATGACCAGTGTAGTTCAGCTCAAGAATATAAGATTTGTTTTACATTTGAAAATCAGTCAATGTAATTCACTAAAAAAGAGCAGCAATATGATAATTACAATGTTTCAAGAAATTATTCGAGCAAGTACATTGTCCATTTCTGATAAAAATTCTCAGCAAACTGGGAAAAGAAGAGAACTTTATCAATTTGATAAAGGATGTCTATAAAAACTGAATGATTATGTCATACTTAATGATAAAAGACTGAATGTTTCCATAACATAAGGAACAAAGCAAAGATGTTCACTCCTACCACTTCTGTTCAGCATTGTAGTAGAGATTTTAGTCATGCCATAAGTAAAAAAAAGAAATCAGAGTTATCCAGATTGGAAAGGAAAGAAGAAAACTGTATTTGCAGTTGACTTAATCATTTATGTATAAATTCTATGGATACTACCAAAAAAAAACTTCTATTACTAATAACAGTTTAGTAAAGTTGTAAAGTATAAGATCAATTAATGGACAAGGAAAAAAATCAATTGTATTTCTGTGTGCTGGCAATGAACAATCAGAAATTGAAATTTTAAAAATACCTTTTATAACAGCATAAAAAATTGAAATACTTAGGTATAAATCTGACAAAAGATGTGCAAGACTGAAACATATAAAACATTGCTGAGGGCAATTAAAGAAAAGTGTGAATCAAAGGATATACCATATTCATGGAATAGAGGATTCAGTCTTTTTAAGAAATCAGTTCTCCTCAGCTTGATTTATAGATTTAAACTACTCACCATCAGAATTTCAGCAGTCTGTTTTTTTTTGGAAATTGACAAGCCAGTTCAAAGGTTCTTGTGGAAATGTAAAGGACCTAGAATAGCAAAAATGCTTTGAAAAAGAATAATGAAGCTAGAGGACTAATACAACCTTAATTCAGGACTTAGTGTAAAACTACAGATAATCAAGATAATGTGGTATTGATGTAAAGACAGATCTAGTGGAATAGAATAGACCCATACATATATGGCCAATTGATTTTATTATCTAAACTTTATTTTGAAATAAAAAGAAATTCCAGGAAACTCACTACTATGTCATTATCTGGATTTTGAAACTTCTAGCAGGTATATCTTCTTTCTACCTTTCAGAGTCTTTTTATGTTTTTTGTTTTTGTTTTTGTTTTGTTTTTATAATTTCTGGAGTTTTTAGTTGCACTTAATGGGAGGAGTAGGAAAAGTACATTTATTCCATCTTCCCAGAAGCAGAAGTTCAATTGATTTTTGACAAAGGTGAAAAGGCAGTTCTTCCGTAGACAGGATAGTCTTTTCAACACATGGTGTTAGAATAATTGAATATCAAAAAAAGTGTTAAGTGAAAGAAATAAGTTGCAAAATGTTATATATGCCACAATCCATTTTCCAAAGATAAAAAAAACTTGGGACTTATATGTAACTATGTTTGTATAAGTGATTATATGTGTATATTTGGTTATACAGAGGAATGCCTAGAAGAATACACACCAAATCATGTATTTAAAAAACAAAGTAGAGAACAGTATGTATCCCCTTTTTCAGGGCACTGATGACATAAATATTAGATCTGTTGTTATTGTCCCATAGTCCTAGGATCTCATGACCCTAATTTTGTTTGAAAAGAAAGTTTAAAAAAAAAGGCAAAAACAAAAAACTATACTTGATTGTATTGTTTTGTTTTTTAGGATCTGGGGTAGTACCCACCAAACTGTTGACATTGATTTGCTATAGGAATTAGAAGTGGAGTGCTCGACTATTTTTACTTAACATACTTAGTATTCGACATTTTTATAAAAAGCATATAACACTTTTATAGGTTTTTGATGAATAAAAATAACTAATGGGCATTACGCTAAGTGAAATAAGTCAGAGAGAAAAACAAATGCTATCTGATCTCACTTTTATGTGGACTCTAAAGGGAAAAAAACAAAAAAACAAAAAAAAACTAAGCTCATAGATAACAGAGAACAGATTGATGGTTGCCAGAGATGGGGATGGGGTTGGGGATGAGGGCAAAATGGGTAAAGGGGGTCAAAAGACACAAACTTCCAGTTATAAAATAATAAGTCATGGGGCTGTAATATACAGCATGGTGACTATAGTTAAAATACTGTGTTGTATATTTGAAAGCTGCTAAGAGAGTAGATCTTAAATGTTCTCATCACAAGAAAAAAATATTTTTGCAACTGTTATGGTGACAGATGTTAACTAGACTTATTACGGTCATTTGATCATTTCGTAATATATACAGATATCGAACCAGTATGTTGAACACCTGAAACTAATACAATGTTATATGTCAATTATACCTCAATTTAAAAAAAATAAATCAAGAAAGGAGAAATTGTTACAAGAAAAGTGCATTATGTTAACGAGTGAAATTCACCAACCAACAACCAAAATCAAAAAATATATACATACCATTTTAGTATATAAACCCATGGTGACCTGATTCTTTCCCCTCAACACACAGGAATAAATGAAGAAGAGGAGAAGAAAAAAGCAAAAAGCAAAGAGAAAATCAAGTTGAAAAAAAAAAGGAAAAGGTATTTTTTTAACATCATTTTTAAAAAGGCAGGACTTGTGAATCCATGATGGATTATAAAATATTTCCATGTATATTTATTTACAGTTTATTTAACATTAATTTTTTTCCTAATGAGAATTAGATGCTCAGTTGTTTCAATAAAATAACAAAGTCCTTTATGTCAGGAATCAAAAATAAAGTCAACACTCAGCCACCTTAAATTTTCTTTTTGGAGCAAATCAAGGTATAAATAAATAACATGCCTCCCCGTGTTTCATGTCTTCTATTTTAACTTTTAGAACATTGATTAACCTATTAATGGAACATAGTCTAAATTCTTTAGATATATTTTTGTCCTCATTTATGTGAAGTTGGAGCCTAAATATTTGCATTCTCAAAATATCATTGCTATGTCTAAGAAATTAATTTATTAATAGAATTTATGTACTCACTTGTTATGCTAAAAATTCCTTTAGGTCTTTCAGAACCTTCATCAGCCACTTATGAATTTTTATATCAATTCTTTTAACAACTAACTAGTTAAAGAAATTGATCAAAAGAATTAATAAGCAACTTTTTCCATGGTTAATGAGTGTAATTTCATTTAACTAGAACAAACATCTACTCATAGACTTTTTTTAAGGCACTTTGCAATAGTAATGTCTGGCTTAGATCATAGTTCTTTGACAGTAGATTCTGCAAATCAGATGTCACTTTGTAATTTTTGTAGAGCATTTAATATATGCATTTTAATACCTCAGCTATTTTATAAATTGGAATAGTTTACTTACAAGTGCTTGGAATTAAATAATAATTTTTAATATAAAAACTAGTAGGAAGGTAGAGCTCAGTGTATTTTGTAGTCTGACTACTATATTATTAAATCATTTGCATAAGCACAACAAGGGGGATTGCTTATAGGAAAAGTGAGTATCTATTTTTGCCCAAATTCTAATATACTTGTTTTATAGTAACATTATTTATTCAAGCCTCTCTTTCTCAGGCCTCACAGACCTCAGATAGGGCCTGAAATTATATGAACTTTTCTAGGCACACTTAGCAGAATTATTGCCACCTAATAGAGTTGCTGTGCCACAGTCTAACATTTTGCCTTAAAAATGAGAATGCAGGATGAAAAAGGCAAAGCAAAATGTACAGGTTGTGAAGAAGAATCTAAATCAGAATCCAGAGGTCAACCACGGTGTTTAAAGCAGGAAAACTGAGAAGAGTTGAGAATAACAGAGTTGCAGAGGGAGGAAGAGAGTACATAAGAAAATGACCTTGGGAAATGGCCAGAAGTCTAAGTAAGTAGACAAGGAGAAGAAAGAAACACAATATGAGAGAACCGGGGGAAACTCGGAGTCTCTAAACAAGGCAGTCAAGGAGTTTCACACATGTTACATGTTACTCTGTGGATGCAGCCTTGTAGTCTCATGGGTTTACTTTTTATCCTTCTGTATGTCTCTCAGGTTTTCTTAGTTTGGGTTTTACCTTCTAATGTCTAGATCACTGAGCTTTCTCTTGAGATACCTTTTTTTATTTCGAATTAACTCAGTTTCTGACTTGTCACTCATATTTGGGGTTTGGGTGTGGGTAGATTGTTGGACATTTCTTCATATAAGAGTTTAACAAATGGCTTCTGTTTTGGGTTTTCTATTTTTTTTTTTTTTAATATTAGAAGAAGGAATTCTACAGTTCTTTTCTAATTTAGTATTACAGTAACAGAAAAATAAAGTATAATGGTAAATTGTCCTCATTCATTTATATAGAATATTCATTTAAAAGCATGTTTTCTGTATCTAGTGAAATTATTTTGGAATGCAAGTGTTCATCTGTATCACTCTGCATCTAGAAGAATCAGGTACTTTAACTTGAAAAATTAAAAGAATTAACAAAAATGTTTTTATTTTGTTAATTTCCATCTTCCATCCATTTATACAGATGTATAATTACAGCCCTTTTTATATAATTGCATTCTTTTGTGGCTCTTTTAAGAGAATATGCTAACAAGTTGTTACATGCACAAGTGAATTGTGTACATAACAAGACTTTGTAAATGCCACTTCTTTTTTCTTACAAGATTTTGAAGGGTACAACAGGATAAAAAATTGAAAATCAGAAAAACCATTTCATCCTTACTGAATCTAAAATTTATTACTAGAGTTGAATGGAATAGGTATTTGTTTTGTCAGTTTAGTTTCTGTAACCAAGTGGCAAAAATTCTAAATTTGGCATTTTAAGAGAATACAAATATATAAAGCACATTTTGAGTTTCTCTGTTTATACCTCCACTTTGCTCCAGGAAGAATTTAAGGCAGTTCAAATCCCATTTAAATTTACCTATCGGCTATTAATACAACTATCAGTCAGTATATATTATTACCCGTAGGTCTTATTCATCCAGTTCCACTGAAGAAGACACTTCAAAACAAAAGAAACAAAAATATCAGAAGAAAGAAAAGAAAAAAGAGAAAAAGAATAAGTCAAAAAAGGGAAAACATCACAAAAAGGAAAAAAAGAAAAGAAAAAAGGAAAAGCATTCTTCCACCCCTAATAGTTCTGAAGTCTCCAAAAAGTAACTGAGGCTATGGCTTAAGCCATTAAATTTTTAAATTTGTTTTGAAAATCATTTGCCCTTTCTTGGAATTTGCTATATAATTATGCTTTGCAATAAATCACAATCTTTTCTATATAGACATTTTTTTATGTATATGGGACCATTATCCTCTGGCAATATATTTTTAATGTGTTATGACTCTAAAGTATTGAATCAGTGTTATTACTTGGTAACCGTGCCCCAAGTATGGATATCTATACACAAAACACATCCTTTTTGGTATTTGTTTGTATGTCTGACTAGTGTTATTGCTTCATAAATTATTGTAAATGGCTTTACTAAAGTCAACACGGGTAATCTACCTAGCAGTTAATGAGTATTGCTAAATCAAGTGTTCACCTGCCAATGATACAGTGAGGTAGGAGATAATGCTTTGCTCTTGACACTGATAAATTGAATACCTTTTTATAGCCTATGATAATGTATGAAGATAGTGAAATTCTTCACTGTAATTTTTAAACCTTTAGCCTTCTTCTGGATGTCATAGGAGATGAAGCTGCTTTATTGGTCTTGACCAGGACTTTTTAAATGAATGAATGGTGTTAGCAGGAAGATGATAATGAAAATATTTATAACAAAGTTTCACCGTTTTATGACATGCAGAGTTTCTAATACCCCCCTCTTTTGTTTTTATAACAATTAAAATATCTCTTCTAGTTCAGCCTGTTCATCCAATAGAGATGATGCTGTGTTGGACAGGGTTTTTAAGATTGACTCCTGGGTTGTTTTACAAATGTGCCATATTGGCATGTCGTAAAGTGATACCTCAAACACAGCACTTTTTATTTAGAAGAATGACAGCTAAATCTTCATTAAAATTGATTGTTATTGTATTCAGTATGTAAATTTTATAAAGCTTATTTCTATGAGTAATGTGGATAATTTTTATAAATGTGAACATACATATTTATTTGTCTGAAATAATTTGTAGTTTTAAAGCAGGTTTCACACTGAATTTATGGTTTCATAAATGACCAGTTTGAGGTGTTTCACTCTTCCTTCAGTCATAAATCTCAGGAGCAGTGACAAAAATTTAGGATTAAGAATTTTATTCTGTACTTTTTAAAATTTAAAAACCAGGGAGTTGCATCATGAAAGTCTTTCTATAACAATGGAAATTTTATATAGGTAGGCATTTTCAAACGCATATTAGTAGATGAAAATGTTTCTTACAGTTTTAATTTCAACAATGATTAGTGTTAGTTGCTATGCTTAACACTTGGGTATCCCCTATGCCCAGTAAGTTAAATGCTTATTATTGTAGCAGCATCGAAAGTCAATCAGTTATCATGGCACAACACCAAAGGTTGCAAGTACCGCACTGTGGTTTGATTATAAATTTTCAAATTTGTAATCCACAGACATGGCTGCAGATGAATTTAAAGAAAGGTGTACTGATTCTTTCTTTACCTAACAACCCTGCCTGACACGACCTCAGTAAGACTGGGGGAGGCCTCATAGCTCCTCTTACATTTGCTTACCATGCTCTAATTCTAGGGATGCTACACCCACATCCCTATTCTAGCATTATAGCCATGGAAGCTCTCACACGGCTAGCTTTTCCATAACCTAATGTAGTCATATGGCCTCCTCAAAAAGAAATTTTTTTTTAAAATAGTTCAGTCAGTTATTTGGAGAGAAATGTGGGGCTATTAGGTTTGTTTTTCCTTTGATTTACTTTATGTATTTTCGAAGACTATTTTATAAAAATATAGTTCTTTGGCTATCAAGATAAAAAATAATAAGTAAAAAAGTTTTTTAAATGATTGGAAAATGCTGCATGCAAAAGGATGGCCTAATTCCATTTAGTGTATGACATGGTTAAAAATGATAGTAATTGTAGTGAACAGAGTTAATTTAATATTTATTTAAATTTAAGCTTAATTTGTAAATTTTATTTCTGTTAATGAGTTATTATTTGGCTCTTTGTATTTGTTTTCTGAATGGTGACACAATAATGGTTCAGAAGAGTTATATAAAATTCAGCCTTCATTAATATAACATGCAAATTAAAAGATTTTAATTCTCAGTAATTATTTTTCACAATCTTAGAAATATTCTTAAGTAAATTTTTCATCATTTGAGATTAGTTTATAGAATATCTCATCTGAATAACATTCATTTATTTTTCTAAGTAATTTTCTTCTAAAGTGATCTTGTTATTATTGGGATTGGATGCAAATCTCACTGGTTATTTTAGGGGAAAAATAGTGAAGTTTCCTTTCAGGCAGTATGTAGCAGAAGGAAAACTGAATTTAATAGTAAAAATCCAAAAAATCCTGTACTTTCTAACTACCTCTGTGATCTTCAGCAAAGTCATTTTAACTTCTCTGGGCCTTGGTGTCTTTCATCTATATTGTACCAAATTATCTCTGAGATCCCTTCCAGACCTTAATATATGTGAGTATCAATATTTTATTAAATTCAAGTAGTAGTATCCACTTTAGAAATTACTACAGATAAGCAGGTAGCATTCTGTGATGGTAAGGGTTGAACTTTTTAATACATCTGTCAAACATATTCATCTTCTTTAAGCAGATAATCAATATTTGAGGGGGATCCTTACCACCAAATGTATGTCATTTTCACTAGATGCAGGCAGAGTTTATGTTTAGATTTATATCTGTAACCAGATTATCTGAACACTTTGGGGCTATTGCTTTTGAGCTGATGGACCTACCCCCCACACAATTCCCTATTTCTTTTTTCCATATCATCTGTTGGCTAAAATCTGTCAGAGGTATCCCCAGTTCTTCACACTTAATAGAGATCTGTTTGCATCTTTGGTTCTCTGAGGCCAAAACATCAGCAAATAAGTAGTAAAACAACTGTATATGTCTATATTTACTACTCTAAAATTACATAACCCTATGTCACCTTCAATTAAACTAGATTGAAGAGTTATTACTAGTGCTGACAAAAATGCCATTGAGTTCTTTCTTCAACAAACATTTGTCGAGGGCCTAGCATGGCAAACACTCCGCTAAGTACTGAGGATACAGAGATTAAAAAGATTCATTTGCTTCCATGAAGAGGTTCACAGTTTAGTTGGTAGGAGAAACAGAAAACAGCAGAATCATTGTGTATAAATACAGTCAATAATTGACCTGAATGTGGGTTTACAGAAACACAGAGGGGTACTTAACCTAGTTTGGAGAAGTCAAAAGAGGCCACTTAGTAATGCCCGAAGTGCATTTTGATTGAAGCAGAAGGTGGCAGTTATGACAGTTCCTGACCAAGTGGATACTGTGAACAAAGACCACAGTAGAAAAAGTTTGGGGGTATGTGTGTCAAGAATTACAAGGAATATGTGAGGCAGGAAGTGGTAAGAATTGAGACTAACATTCTATGTTCTCAGGAACAAAAGAAAGAGGTCTTATGTTCCATGTTTGTGAACTTGGACTCTAATTTATAAACAATGAGACACCAATAGAGAGTTTTAAGGAAACAAATAACTTTTATTGGAGTTTGGTTTCATCCATTTCATAATTCAATTCCACAAGTTTTAAAAGATAAAATTGAAGATGAAATTGCTCTCATTAGAAGGCCACATAGAAAATAATTTGAATCTTTATGTCATTATTTGTACTCTTCTTCTAGACCCACTTTTCTAAGATCTCTTTATTACCAAATATTAGTGACTTAAGTCTTCTAAAAACAGAAATCTACTGTATTATCAGACTTATCCCCAGAATTATATGAATATGCACATACTTTGAAATGTGTTTTTAATTTTATTTTAGATTATTTTTGACTGACATTCTGTGGCTCTCCCTCAGGTAACCTGGCTTAGCTGGGAGTGCTTCAAGGACTCCAACTGATACTAGTGCTGGGATTCAGCCTTCTTGGGCAGTTGGCATCCAAGAACAGTAGGTTTCTTATGCCACTTGCAGATAATCCCAGTTACAGAGCCCAGGGTCTTCTGACCTCATTTGTCTTCTCCCAACTCCTCTAAAATATGCAGAGTTCCAGAGAACTGGGATGCCTCTCTCAGAGCACACCCATAGTGCATCCAACCATGCCTGGCCCCATGCATGCCCACAGGCTAGGAGGAGTCTGAGGGACCGTGAGCATTTTGCTGGCCCTGGGTTTCCAGTCTCTTGCTGTTTGTGTCATTCATGGTATCTGCCCTTGCCCCTGAGCAACAAAAGTAGAACTGTGCCAGTGCCTTAACTAGACTTTCTCAGCCCGGATTTTCATAAGGCAACATCTAATTAATAATATAATTGTTAATATCTGTGTATTAAGATAGCTGATTTTTCTGGGATTTTTAATTTTTTTTTAGTCAAGCTGGATAAAAGATCAAGAAATACCATAAATGCTTTATGTGTTTTCACAGAAAAAATGAGAATTCTTTGCTTTCATGACCACATAAAATGTCATTTTTAAAATAGTAATGTTTCAACTTTCAAACCGTGAATGTACTCTAAGCAGTTTTAATATTTAAACATTGGCAAAATTGTGTTCTTTTTGAACATGAAATCTAACACCAGCAGTAGGCTGTTGCAATGATAATCTGGAACTATGATGTCAATATAGACATGTGTGGCTATTTAAATTAAATAAAATCAAAATGTATTTCTTCAGTTGCACTGGCCACATTTCAAGTCCCCAGTAGCCACATGTGGCTAGTGGCTATCATGCCAGACAATGTAAATGTAGAAAGAACATTTCCATCTTCTCAGAAACTCTTAGTGGACAGTACTGGTTTAAAAGATATCCTCAGTTCTTGGTAGAAATATTGACAAGCTAATGATCAAAATTTTCTAATCTTGAGCTTTGCATGCCTGAGACCAATAGGCATTCCTTTTTTTTTTTCCTGTCAGACAAGAAGCTATATTCATCACACTTTGAAAGGCTAATCTTTCAACTACAGAAACTTTATACAACATAATAGATGTGTTCAGTACAGCCAGGTTAAAATTAATCCTTTTTTCCTATTGAATTCCATTATAAAACCAGGTCTGTGTTCTTATAATAGCAATCGCACGTAAGAAAAAATATCTTTTAAGACAATTGCAATTTGCAGAAACTGTAGTTTTATTTCTAGATGTCTAAGTGGTATTACTGCAATAGCCTTAGGTATCAGAGAACTTGTTTGTCTAACTTTCATTATAGAAATTCCTTAGGAACTTTAGCAGTGAAGGATTTTTGTTATGGTTATCCTTTGGCATGCAGAAAATATTTATTATGCAGATTATCCAATGTGACACATTTTGTTACTGAATGTTAGCTTTTATAAAGGCATTATTGTTGTTTGTGTGCCCAGCAAATCCTCTAAAAAAGGCGTGGGTTGATATCTAAGAGACTGACATGCCACCTCTAGTTTATAAGACCATTCTCCCTGAAATCTACCTATCTAGTACCATCTCTTAGAAAAGTAACTGCCTCTAAGTACCAAAAAGTTGTGAAATGCTGGTAATGTGACATAAATTTCTTATCGTTCCTCACTGAGATAGGTTTACTTGTCTGTGTTATGGATAAATCCTTTGACTAATCAGGGGGATCACTTCGTAAATTACGTGAATGTCTAACCACTATGCTGTGCATCTGAAACTAATATAAAATATTAAATATCAACTGCAATTGAAAAATAAATAAGAATACCAAATTTTTTTTAAATGTCTCCTGAAGTATTAGGATAATTTCATGTAATGTACAAAGATCTTAGTAAATTAATGTAAACTTACACACATTAAAAAACTATCAACCCTTAGTGGGTATTCAGTAAATTAATTGAATGATAAAAAATACAGCTGTGTCTTGCTTTGTGAGTGGCAAATTTTTGAAAATTATTATTACAAATTATTTGAAATGCACTCTTTATTTTTATTGTTTCATCTTTCCAATGAACTTTTACAACACAGGATTTTTAATAATACACAATGTTGATTTGTGTTGTATCCATCGTTTTTTCTTGAATTACATCATCAGCTTCATAGGATGTTTCATTTGTTGAATTTGATGCTGCATTTGAATTGGGGGCTTTGGTTTTCCTATTTGAGTTGCCTGCAAATAGAACAAAATGAAATAATTATGTGAAATTATGACATAAAATTTGACTTAAATAAACTTTGTAGCAGTATTGAAAATGTCTTGAGAATGTGATGTGAATGATTGAGAACTGAATTATTTCAAACTTGTTTTTTAGCATTTCTTCTTGAAAGTCAAATGAGGGAAATATTCAGTAGCAGAAGTACAAATTTTATTTCCATACTAACCTTTCCTTCACCGTGCTTCCATGGGAGAAACCACACATCTGTTAAGAAGGTACCAGTTTTATGGGTTGTTTAATAAAAGTGTGACTGTCCCTATGCATAAAGTCAACAAAACTATACTAAAGCCAATCATTATAATTTCCAACATTCTTTAAAGCTTTGCCATCATAATCAATGTAGATAAAATTTTTTAAAAAGATATTTGTACTACAATCTCATTCACTCATATATAAATATAAGTCCAGAGTGCACAAGGGTAGAGAACTTTTTCGGTGGTAAAATAATATTCTACTTCCAAACATCCATCATGATGTTTCCACCATATAATTTGATTTTTTTAAAGTTCATTTGTTGAAGGCACATCATTTTCTAGCCTGGAAAGTATTCCTTTGCCCAATCAGCAAGCAAAACTGTTTAAGATAAATAGTAGGGAAATTTTCTGGCATGAAAATTTGATAAACTGATCAGTTCTTGACTGTTATTTGCAAAGTAGACTTTCAAAAACATGTTTGATTCAAATTTAACTACTACATACTTAAGCATTTACTATTTTCCTCATGTAATATTTGGAAAATGTGTTGTTTGTACTCTTCAGTATCATAGCAGGTAAAGATATAAAAGATCAAAGATATAAGATGTCAATTAGTTTCGTATTATCTGTGTAGCATTTGTATCTTATATGATCATTTCTTTAAATATTTTATTAGAAATCCTGAAAGTCTGAAAACTAATGTTTAATTCAAGTCCTTAATGTGTTTCTGAAAGCTTTTTACATACTTAAATTCACAATATTTTAATCAGATTTTCAAGGTGTTTTTATTTACCTTGTCACATTCAGTTTTCCTTTTTGTATTTTTTTATGGTAAATTAACTCGGGAAATTACTTCTAAACTTACTTTGAGGTTCTCTCTGTCATCTCCATTCTGATAGCTCTAGCTTCCATTATGCATTTTCCCGAAAGAGTTCACTAACCTGACTACAGCCCTCAGAGACTTAAAGTCTTGCAAAGTACAGGCCAGTATTATAGATTTTTCTTCATCTAAGACATGTGAAGATCCCCATTCTCCAGCCCTGACTTGTTGTTTCCATGGCCGCTGGATCTTTCTAACCAGTGTAGTTACAAAAATTGTTTCTCAGATTGGCCTATGAAGACAAGGCAGTTCTAACAAAACCAGCTTGCTACACAAACAGGAAAAGATTTCTATAAACATCATTTGAAGCAGGAGCTTTGAATAGCAAGTTAATATCCCTGATGTTCGCTTTTTCCTGCGGCTTATTAAAATCAGTGTGTATCCCTCTGGTAAGTTGGAGTAATTGGACGTACAGAAAAATAACTGCAATGAATTGGGCTGTAGTGGTAAGAGTTGAGCTAACTGCATCCTTTTGGAAGAATTTTAAAAGAGAAAGAAGGAAAAGTCCCCAGGAACCTCAAGCTTTTCCAAGTTTTGCTTTAATAAGTAGAAACTAATTTCTTAACTAACAAAGTAGGGATAAAACCAGCTGCCTCTTTCCTGTCACTAGATTACAATATGAATTTGATTTTAAATAAATCTGGAATTTCATTGAGCTCCCAAGGGATTTGTTACACACAAAGGATTTTTCTTATTTAATTCCTCCTTTTCTTTACCTGAGTGCAGATTGCAAAGACCCAACATCTCTGTGCTTTCCTAGCTTGACATTTTTTCTTTCTGCAGCTCACTTTCCATTTTCATTCTTTTTGGGGGGAGGAGGGGAGTCTGGTCATATGTAAATCTCAACCTTTCCTTTAATCCTATATCTCTCAGACTGGCATTTAAATTAAAGCTTTAGCCTTTGCCATCATTTAAATCATTCATCAAATAAAATCTTTCCGTTAATCCTCATCACAAACTAGGCCGATATATATTTTTTGATAACAAATTTTGCATTCATTTTCAGAACCATTCCTCAGAGATCCGTTTATTCTATAGCTCTTCTATGAATTCTGTTCTTGCCTGCCATTTTGAAACAACAACAACAAAATGCTGGGAACCTCTGCTGGTCTTCAGCTCCTTGCTATCTGGCAGAATTGTAATTAAACTTTCCTGCCACTGTCTGCCTATATCCTGGGACCTGTGTTACCGTTCTGCAGTCCTACAGCAGCTTCTAATTACTAATCTGCTGGCTTAGTTTATTATTTAGTAGGAAATAATAAATACATCCCACTCATCCCACAGTTCCTTCTAGTGGAAACAAGCAATCTTAAATTTACACCCTAAAAGGGCTTTTTGTTTGTTTGTTTGCAAGAGGTTGTTTTCCCTTTAAATTTAACATGATGCACAAGAGTAGATCTGAGGTAAATCATAAAGTGAGCAAAACTTGACTAGTAAGTAACCTGCTGATCTATTGACCTCTCCCTTCAGTGCCCTCAAGGATATATATAGGTATCTCATGTAAATATAGCTAAAAATTCATTGTGAAAGTTCGAGTCTTAGACTTGCCCTGTTGCTTTGCCCACCTGTGAATGAGTAAAGGTAAGTTCTATCCAGAAATGCTTTTCCTACTCTGTTTTTTTCACAATTGGCCTTTTTTTCCTTTCTTTTTCTGCAATGCTAAATTTTTATATTGATGACTAAGTTAACTCACAAAGAAATTTAGCTAATATTTTAATTCCTTTAAGTGAGTTTTCACAATGAGAGACTGAGTTCTAGTTTTCATTTTGGTTCCAACATCAGCTAGGATAGCCTAACCCTGTGCCCTGAGCTCTGCTGAGCAATTTGATTATCTACATTCCAGGACAAAAACTGTCATAGGAAATTCCAGGCTCCTTTTAACTAGGAAGTGCCTTTAGGAGACACAAGTGGCCTTTTCTGCCATTGAATTCAAATTACCTGGTCTTCTACTAAGATCTCAATGAATTCTTAAAGCCTTTCCAAAATGAAGAATGATATTATGAAATAATTTGGCAGCCTAATTGATGAATTTTAAGCAGATTTTGTTGAAGGAGTGTTACGCCTACTAAGAAAAATATCTCCCAGAGTTATCCATACATTGAGTACAAAAACGATCAAAATACCACTTGATTTTTAAAAATTTGATAGTGTGATTCATAAGTTTATTTGGAAGCCTGACCCATACAAGAAACTGGAAAAGAATCATAATGGGAGAGAGGAAAAAGTCTTGCCTAATGAGATATTAAAATAAACTATATAGCTACAATAATTTTAAAAGTATATTACTAGCTTAATAAACAGGCTGATAATAGAACAAAAAATCTAAAAACATTCTAGTATACATAAGAATTTCGTTTATGACAAAGGTGACATTTTAAATTGACAAGAGAAAGATGAATTATCCAATGAATATTTGGACAATTAGCTCATTATTTGCAAAATAAAAATAAAGGCAGATCCCTACCTCACACTTTCCACCAAAATTAAAATTCCAGGATTTTAAGATTTAAATATTAAAAACAAATGAATAAATGTATTAGAAGATAATAAGTGAATATCTTTATATCTTATACTGAGGTGAGAACTTTCTAAGTATGAAAATAAAGGAAGAAATCACAAAAGGAGAACTGAAATTGAAAAATGGACACATACAAAATTAAAAAGGAAATGACTGAAAAACATTTACAATACATGTGAAAAGAGTTTGGTTGCTGTATGGAAAGTTCATACAAAGCCATGAAATGTCCACTCTCACTCCTAATTAGGTAAAATAAAATACCACATTATTTCTCTCAATGAAATAAGTAAAATCTACATTTTTGAAGTAATAATACCCATGAAATAGTATTTTTCTGGAAGGCAGTTAGCAACTTGTATCCAAAGCCTTTAGTAATGTGCCCATCCTTTGGTCAGCAATTTCACTCCCAGGGATTTATGTTAAGGAAATACTTAAACGTTCAACATTTGTGCATAAGAGGAAAATGGAAGCTAGTTCAAAGTCATTAATTTAATAAAATTTGGTAAACTCAGACTTTGGTTGCTAAATACCATTCACAACTAAAATGAACCAGGCTTCATGGAGAAATGGCAATTCCAGGGCTGGAACAAGGAGAGTACAGGATGCCCTAGAACATCTTGTGACAGAAAGCAAAGAAGTGCTCAAAAAATGATGGACACATTTCAAAAGGACACAGGACCCAATTTAAAGTGGCTTCCACAGGCTAAATTTGAGATAACTCAAGGACTACGGTAAATGCTAGTAAGAGAATATTTTAGAATAAAGAATCTGAGTCCATACTGAAATTAATAAATAAACAAATAGGTAAATAAGTAGGGGAGAAGGGGAAAGCTTTTCCTAGAGTTGAATAACTAATAAATGTAGAAGGAATGATGAGTTTAGAAATCAACATTTTACAAGTAGAATAATTTGAAATTATTTTGAAATTTTAAATGAAAAAATTCAGTTAGCCATTAATAGGTAGGTATAAATTTAAGGAAGAACAGAATGTTTTCATAGTTTCAAAGTACCCCTCCCCCAACAAATTACTTAGTAATGACAAAGGGAAATGATAGTGACTTTTCAATGAATTAACCCAGCAAATACAACCTTCACCAGAGAATCCAAGTTAACATCACCAATAATGAGACAAACCAATATTATGTATCTCCTGATACGATGCCCTGAGGATATAACTTCTGTGGTATTCCTGTCAACATATATAATCTCCTTCCAATCATGAGAAACATCAGACAAACAAATTGAGGGACACCGTATAAAATAATTGGCTTTTACTTTTCAAAAATGCCAAGATCATGAAAGACAAAGAAAGGCTGAGGATCAAAGGACACTAAAGAAATACAATAGCTAATTACAAGATATAATTCTGGACTAGATCCTAGAAAGAAAAAAATAGCTTTTAAGGATTTTGGGAAAATTTGAATATAAACTGAAGATTAGATAATATTACTGTATCAATGTTACACTTCCTGACTTTGATAAATATACTATAATTACGTAAGAAACCCTTGTTCTTAGGAAATACATACTGAAATATTTATGGTTAAAAGGCATGATAGCTGCAAATTATTTCCAAATGGTTCAGAAAATATACATCAAGAGAAAATCAATGATGAAAAGAATGAGGCAAAATATTAACTATTAGTAAATCCGAGAAAAGGTATACAGCCTTCTCTATACTTGTACTTCTAGAAGTATGAAATTATATCAAAATAAGAGAATAAAAACAGGACTCCATCAAGGTAATAAAATAGAACCATTAAAAATGATGGTGAAGGTATTTATTTAATGGCAAACAAAGATCAATATTGCTCAGAGGAAAAAAAAAGTCGTGTTAGAAGACTCATTTTCCACCCATTTTGTTATGTACATGTATCTAAAGACACATAGAAAAAAAATCCACGAATATTCACCATGGTGTTAATAGGTATTATTCTGTGTGGTGGGATCATGGATGATGTTATTTGTTTGTTTGTTTCACTATATTTTCTAATTTTCCTACAATGAAAGTGAATTGAAAGAAAGTTTTTGTTTTTGTTTTTAACGGGAGAGTGAGGGTGTCCTCTAAGAAGAACTATAGCAGACCATTCTGAGCTGGTCCAAGTCCTAGTTTGCTCACAGGCAGAATAAATGATATGATCTACAATTTGCTTTTTTTCGGAGTAGTCCGTATTTAATTTATGTTTTTCTCCTAGACAACTGTGTCTTACTGCTGATTAGCTTGCCCTTCTTTCATTTATATCACTTGCCTTTATAAAAGAAACCACCAAATAGAGGCTTGGAGTTGTCTATTAGTCCCATACAACTGTACTATTTATGTGTGTCAGGCAGCTCTGCTAATATCTGCCCCTCTAATTTTCATCACAAATTCTGCATCTAAGAATCCTCCCTCTCCTCGATTCTCCACCCATATCTACAAGTGCAAGGTGTCAATGAATACTCAAAACCACAGGGTGATTAGGTTTTACCTTCCTAGAGCATCTATTTTACTCAGATATGGAAAGAAGATATAATTAGAGTAAAATAAGGCATTATATTATGCAGTCAAATTGACGATTCCCATAAACTTAAAAAAATAAAATGGGCAACTTCAAATAATTTAAAGCTCATGAGACTTAAGGCAGGTCTTTTCACTCGAGACCTTGGAATTCTAGAGGCACAAGTTCCTTTCTTGTCTGCCTTTAAGGATTCTCCAGTGAAAAAGTTTGAGAAGCAGGGATCTGCTTTCATTCACCCCTTTCATTTCTCCTCTATTAGGCATTAATTCTTCCACATCTTATGAAATAAGCCCTCACTCTCAGAAAGACGCCCTTCACACAGCCATCTTCTGCTCAAAACTATATGTCTGTCCTATAGAGCACAATTTACAAGCTGTGGTATTCTAAACGTTAGCATTTGAAACACGCATAACTCAAAACACAAAAGTTAAAAAGGAAGAAAATGATTGTGGCACACAATTTAAAGGCAAATCAATTGCTTAGCAATTGGACCTCTCTACAAAATGAGCCCTGGAAGTAGCCCAATTAAATTTTACAGTCACTATCAGTCACTTGCTTCCTTCAGGATCAATTCAAAATGTATAAAGCCTTCAATTATATGCATTGAAAAGAATGAAACCCAATAGAATAAAGACACATGAACGAAAATTCTTGGCAAAATTGTTTACAATTAGACTTTTAAATTTATTGTCATTTATAAAACAAAAAAGTCCAATGCCCTAAGCCAGTTTTAGTATGTGCACACACAAAAAAAATCCCCACATTTCCCTCAAGACCATTCAAATTGCCTGTAATGAAAACAGTCTCAATTATAAAAATTAATTCAAAATTATGAGAGGTTGCCTCTTACGTATAGAAAGTTTTGAAAGAAGAGTGGTAGCTGGTGAAACCAACTTTCCTCTATATATATTTACTTGCTTGATTATTATGCAAACATTTATCACATTCCTAACCTTTAAGGCATTCCTTAAATGAAGTAAAGACTTTTCTCAATTGCCATCACACCAGCATCCATTCCTAGGTGGGAGAATCACTGTAGTGGAAGCATGCATATTTAACAATGGCACAACGGCGGTTTTTAATTATCACTTCAAAGGGTCACTTTCAAATATAAACCATTTTCTCTTCTTATTCCAGTGACATTTGGATTACCTATTTTGTTTTGGGCTCTCCACTATGATTTGTTTAAAATCAACCCAAGGGACCAAAATCACCTCATTTGAAAGCAGCTGGAAGGCAGCAGGTCGTATAGAATCCTGCCTTGCCAATGCAAGTCCTCAGGAAAAATGTGTTGAATTAATTTGCTGACTGGATAAATATGTTTTTGAGAGGGGCAGAGTGGGAACATTTCGTTGCAAGAAAGCAGTCTCATCTAACTACATAGGGAGTGTGTTAATTGATCTCCACGGCTAAACAGCAATAAGACTACAAGACCAATCAACAGGCCAACTAATTCTGTTGCTGAGTTCTCAGAGCCAACATGCAATAACATTTGAAACAGTTCCTGAGACAAACCAGGAAAATAACCAATTTTTTACTTAGTGCAGTGCATTGTAGATAGGAAGCACTCAATGGATGTTTAATGACTATAATGGTGACAATAAATCTGATCCTTTGATCACCAAAATAGACGTGCAGTGCTATTCCCTTCAGTTCATCCAGCAAACATTCAGTTAGGTGTTCTAAGATGCTAGGAATACTGTAGTGAGCAAACAAGACAAAAATTACTTTCTTGGAACTTACTTTCTAGTTGGAGTGGAGAAAAGTTAGATAACAGATAACTGAAATATATAATATATTAGTGATAAATGCTTAAGAGAAAAATAAAGCAGGAAAGGAGTATGAAATATTGAAGGGAAGTTAAAAATGCAGGTAGAGTGACAGGGAAGAACTCCCTGAGAGGGTGCCTTTTGGTAAAGATTTAAAGAAAGTGCAAGTGCAAGTCATGCAGGTATCTAAAGGAAATGCATTCTAGACAATGGTGACAGCATGTACAAAGGTCTTGAGGCAGGAGTTTCCAGGAACAGCAAAGAGGCCAATGTGACCTGGTACAAGGGGATGAGAGAAATAAGGGTGGAGAGGGCAGGACACAAAAGCCCTGGTAGGTCACAGTTAAGATTCTGTATCTATTGCGGAGATGGGAAGTGATTAGGGTTTTGAGGAGGGAAGAGACATGACCTGACTTTGGTTTTAACTGGCTCACTATGGCCGTTCTGTGGTGGGGTAGACAGAGGGGAGCAAGGATGGAGTAGGGAGAGAGCTATTTGTTTTAAAAGACAGATTCTGGAATTTATAGTTCTAACAAGCTCTCTAGGTGAATCTTGTTCATAGTAAAATTTAAGAACTGAATTGCTCGAATTACCTAACTGAGACAAAAATTGATTTTATGATTATTTCACAATTACTAATCCACTGCTTTATTTTGCCTATGGAGAAATCGGGCCTAAGCCATTTGACTAAATTCAGCTAATGACCTGTCAATTTGGCCGTGGAATCTTCAGACTTGGGAAAGAGAACTCCAAAAGGATCTTGGCCTCTTGCCCTGTGACACAGGCTACCCTCTAAGAGACATCTCCTAGTTTCCTCCAGAGAAGGAAACTAGAGCTCATGCAGTCATGCAGTAGTGGTGTATTTGATAAAGTCACAGAACACATGTTCCATAAATATAAGTTTCAGGATTCAGCTAAAATAGAACATATGGGCAGAGAATTTTCTAATTTTTTTAAAAGTAACATTTACTTTTTAAGTGATAGTGAACATTTGTGTCTTATTCTAAATATATATATATATTCTCTCTATATTTTTTAAATGTACATATCAAAATAAAATTCATGGTTATTTTTAGATACACTAATAGAAATTTTTATTCACAAAATTTTAACAATTTTTTTCTGAATTTCTTAATAATAATAATCAATTTTTTCTGAATTTCTTAATAATAATAATTAGTATTTGTGTAGCACTTTATACTGAGATAACAAGAGACCCAGTTCTACAAACCAAACATAAAAATTTCTTCCTACTTTATAGTCACGCTACACGCACCACTATACCTTAACTAGTTCATAATCTATTCAGGAACAGAGACTGTCTTCTATTTATTTTTCTCTCTTATATGTCTCTGAGTTATTTTTTATGCGTCCTCCGAATTCTGTACACTATAGGTATGCAAATAACTGCTTAACTGACCATTGACTAACCCATCTAAGTAATGCGACACTGAGAATTAATCATCAGGTATTTTGTTCCTCTATTTATTTGACTTCTTTGGCTCTATCAAAAACAAAATTTAGAAATTCCAAGAGAATAAAACCTTTATAACTGAAAGAGACATAAGTACATTAAAGTGGATTTATTGGATCAATGTATTATTTTTTCATGAGAACATTTATATCGTGCTGCTATTTTTCCTTGGGCACAATATCTCTAAGGTATTTCATCATTAAGGCCTAATTTCTCGTGAATTTTTATACAGGCCCATAATGAATTTTAGAAAGGATTCATTAACAGTATGATCTGTTACCCAGGTACAGGTTATTCTTTTGAACAGAGTGCAGGTAATTGGCTACAAATAATGGATACTGATTACCTTCTTGAGTGGAAGAAACCTCTAGGTGTTGAAGTTTAAGGCCAGTGTCAAATCTTTGAGGCTTCGTATACAGAAATAAATAGCAAAGGACACAGACGCTGATGACAAAGGCAAGTAAAACAAGGGCAGCAATTCCCAGTCCAGTCAGGGCACCAATGCTGAGGAAAACAGAAAACATTGTGACTGTTACACAGATAGGTTTACATAGGAACTAAAGAGGTTTAAATGCTATTTCTTGCCTCAGGAATTTGTAACCAAATTATGTTTTAGTACAAACAGTATGTGATTAAAATCTACAGCTCACCTTTTTCTACCATCAAATTCTTATCATATTTTCTCTATACATGTATATGTTAATATTAGTATAGAATATCATGTGAATTCACATGACAGGTAAAAGGTAACGATTATCTAAGGATAGTTCAAAAACATCTCAATCAAATAAACCTCTTATTAATATATAGTAGGAGGTAAGATCAGGTTCCCCAATAAAAGATGAGTAGAAAAACATTTGCCTTTGCAAAAGTAGTAAAATAAATGTGTACCAGAAATGTAGAACTTTTCATTTGGAGACACGTGTGGGAGATAGCATTTACTAATATATGAAACCACAACTATTACAAAAGAGAAGAAGGTTTAATTAAAGGAAAGCAACAGTTATATAAATTTATATAAAGTCTGTTCAGTCTGAATTTTTCCTTTCTAAAAGACCATAACACCAATGGCTTCTAGCATTAAGGAAGAAACCCTTGTCCTTTTCTCTAAAAATAAAGTGTATATCAGATTATTTTCTCTTCGCTGAATTTGTAATTCCTTCTGATACAGTTATCTATAAGGCTGATCAATTGAGAAATAACATAGTTTACATAAACCTGTGAACTTAATACTTTTAAATGGGAAATGGAGCTTGAAAGAAAGAATTATCTTGAAAGACTAATATGCAAATATATGTACATCACTTTCACAAACCATATTTATGTGTGGATGTGTAAGATATACATATATATGTATATATATGTGTATATATATACATATGTATATATATGTGTATATATACATATGTATATAATACATAATTAGATTTTAAGCTATTCAAGAGCAGATACTTCTGTTGACCTTCCCATAGTGTTGTGTACACTTATTAAGTGTTTTGTAGAGTACTTAGCATGTAGTAAATGTTCCATAAATGGAAGTGAATAATAATTTACTGGTGATTGATCCACTTGTAGTAATTGAAAAGTCATCATCATCATTAAAAAGTAATGATCTTTTCCTTCATTATCTTCCTGGCTTGCCTGTAGACCTCCGCTGTTTCTCGGAGATTAGGGAGGACCCTGACGAATTTGACACGTACCAAAAGGGAAAGGAGAGAGAATTTGAGCACAGAGGCCAGGTGTGTCACTGCTTTGGGAGTAAGGAGAACAGAATTAAAAGTGAGGGGCTAAGTTCATGCAATTTATCCTTGTTTTTAGGACATAAAGCACCCCTGCAATTTAGAGATTGCCTCTTGAGCCACAGACATAGAGCTAAACTTCCAGAGATTCTTGGGCTTGGTTTATAAATGTCAGCCCTGTTCCCCTTCACAGGTGAAGACTAGGTAATTTTGTGGCTAGAGTCAGCATATTTAAATTGGAGTTTGCTGTCACTTGGTGCACTCTCTCCCAAGGTGTAGACTCCTGCTGCTGGCAACTCCTCTTTCATGCTTGTTTGCACCAAAGCTGACTTTGTAGGTCATATGTGTCAAGGATGGTTAGGCCTCTACACAAGACACATGGGAACGTAACCTACTTAATTAATACTATCCGCTGCACAAGGCAGCTAGGAGGCCAGACAACTAGAAAGATTCCTGAAACAAGAACCTGGCTATTTTTTTAAAATCTGCAAAGTAAGAGAGCAATTTAGTCAATTTAAAGGTAAAATTGTCATTTTAATTCAATATACATATTGCAGGCTTTTAGTGTACACAATTTAAAAACCGGTCCACACTATTTGAAGGAAAAACAAAAATAAAGCATGCTTTTTTTTCTGCTTTCTGTTATGAAAGGAAGTTCTTCATAATGTTGAAAAACTGTTTTAATGTCACAGTTCCACTTTATAGAAATGTTCCTTTACGCATGTGAACCTCTAGATAAAGATTGAGCTCTAGGAATCTCCTAAAATATTCATTTCAACAAACACATGTTGAACTTATGTGTTGTCCTGTACAATAGGTCCAGAGTCCTAAGAAGTCAGGGATCTGTAAGAGGAAGAGATGGGAGTGGGCCAAACACAGAAAAGAGAGAATTATCCTTTCCTCAGCACTGTATGGCAGTTTGCTTTCCAATCCTTGAGGTGACAAAGAGTCTGAAGCTGTCGTCACATTAATGCACCAATTCTCCTACTTAGCAACTTCACTTACGGGTAGTAGCTATCTATACCTGTGCCTTTCTCCAGCAGCTGCAGAATCAAAGAACAAATGCTAGTGACTTCTGGAATATTTTTCACAGTTGGACTATTTTAAATTAGGGGTTCGAGAGTAAAGAATATGAGGGAAACATAACTTTAAATTTTGTGTTCTCAGAGTAGTGTGTTCTCAGAGCTCAAACTAAAAGAACCCCAGGTTTAATATTGCCAACTGATTCCATCAGTTGAAATGATTTTTATATTTCCCAGGAGCTGAGATGCACTGTCCATTTTGTCAGTGCTGAATGAAGACCCTGGCAAGCTGTTCAGAAGCCTTAGGAAGGGTTAATAGCCTCCGTTGTTGTCACTTTACAATGAGTCAGGAATCAGAATCTCAGGCATTTTTCCAATTGAGTTTAATTTAAGGGTTGCCAGTCTCTGTTGGAGGCACTGCCACCATTGTTAACACCTCCCAAGACTCAGAGCTGAGTTGCTATGTTATTTTCAAAAAGGCCAAATAATATGCCAGTGCCATATAGATTGCTTCCCTAAATAATAAAGGTAAGCTGTCATTATTTGGGGGGATTTTGCCCCACTCTGAACTGACACAATTCAGCTTTGTTAGTTAAACTCATTGGTAAGTGGGCACTCCTTCTGAGATTTTTTCGAAGCTTGCAATACAGAAAAAACAAATATATATATCTGCTTTTGGAAATAACGGTTAAAGTAATTTGCTGTAGACTTGGTATGTATGCCAAATTCTGGATCATCCAAGGAGATTGGGATAAAAATTATTCATCCTCTTAGTAGCAGTCTTCTCTCTCGCTCTCGCTCTCCCCCTCTCTCTCTCCCCCTCTTTCTCTCCAGTCCTAAACATAAGCTAACTGGTTTGTAAGAAATAATTTAAGGAGGAGAGGGAGTTCTTCCCTATAATCCAGACATCCCATTCATTCTCCAGGAAAAATGAAAGAATCAACTTCAAAGTTTCCAGTCCTTTGGAGTGTAAGGGTGGGCGGGGAAAACACTTCATAATGAAAAATATCTGCATAAATACTAGCTAGAAGAAGTAAAATTCCCATCATAGGAAAAAGAGGCAAGAAAGACCCCACCTCAGAAAGTCTCTTCACTTTTCAGGAGTGGCCAAATGGCTCAGGCATTGGGAAAGCAGGTATCCTGGAAAGCTTCTACAGATTGTGTAACCATAGCACCTAAAACTCTGTGGATCTCCAATTCGGTTCGAGGTCATTGTCAGATCAAATGAAAAGGGCAAATTATAAAGCCCAGTCTCTTGCACGCGCGCGCGCACACACACACACACACACACACACCCTACCTCCCTACCTTTTTGGTTATTTAAAGAATACAGCCAATTCCTTTTCACCTGCCAGAGACTTAAAATACTCTGATCCTTGGTTAATGCCTTAAAATGGGTCCCATAGGAGCCCCTTTCTATTCATATCCACCAAATGCCCAAAGAAAGCAAAAAAAGAATTAAAACCTCCTCAAGTTAGTTGTGTGTCTCGTCTCTCCGCCAGCAGAGCTGCCTGCTTGGGACTGGTTCCCGGCGAATGTGAAGAACAGTCCACCCAGGGGAGGCGGGCGGGGAGCTGAGACAGGCCAGTGGGAGCTGGCTGGGTGCGCCCTGGGCGCAAAGCCCGCGCTACTCCCGCACGCGCCTCGCCTGTGGTCCTTCGGCGGATTCACACCTCCGGCGGCCACCGCCTGACCCTAGCCGGATGAGTCCCGACTCCCGGGACATCTCCAATCCGACTGAGGTGTCCGTGTAGGGCCCTCACCCACCCTCCGAGGCTCCGCGTCCTTCCGGAGGGAGCCGACCTGAGCGGGTCGCGGGGACGCAGGTGACTTCCCTCCTCCCTCTGTGGCACTGCTTATCTCTTCCCCAGACCCTCCTGTCCGCCAGCCTCCTGCCCTGCCCACCTGAGGCTCCACATGTAGCTGTGCTTGTAGGGGAAGTAGCTGCCGGGCTCGCTGCAGCAGTACTTGAGGTCTGCGAAGCCGCAGCAGTAGAGGAGGGCGGCCGCCTCGCCGCGCCGGGGGCACTGGAAGGACTCCACGAAGCTGTGGTTGAGGCTGTAGTAGCCGGAGCACACCCGGCTCGCCTCGCCCATCGCGGGCGGCTCTGGGCAGGGTGACGCGAGACCCCCTGCCACCCCGATCTATCCTGGGACTGCACCGCCAGCGCCCGCCGAGCCCCTCCTCCCGGCTCCCCTCTTGCGATCTGGGGTCTGGCTGCCTGGGCGTTCAGCCTTCGCGCGCCTCCTCTGCTCTCTCTCCTCCCCCTAGCCACATGGTGTCTGGTCGCCTTACTCGCGCTTCTCCTCGCTACTGAGTGGTCGGTCCTTTTATGTGCTGGTGTCTGGCCCTGCACAGCTCTTCTATTTCCCCCTCCATCTGCTTTCTTCGCGCTCTCCTGACGCCCCTTCACTTTCCCTTACTTCATCAGCAGCCTGGGGACTGTAGCTGTCCCCACTCCATGCCAGAAAGAAATCTCCCCTGAGGGAAAAGTGGAGGTGTAGGACATGTTTGCCGCGTGGACAGGTGAAGCCGAAGTTGCAGTTCTGTTTGCCCAAGGACGGGCAGATGGGGTTCACGCAAACAGAGGTGAACTGAAGGAGGCTTTACCCACCACGGGCCATTGACCCAAGGACTGGGGCTAGTGGCCACAACAAAAGGCACTGAATGCGGGCTAGAGATGTTGAGAAGTATCCCTTCTTTGAGAAGTGCACATGAAACATTAAAATCTGCCAGTGTAAAAGTCAAAGACAAAAAAACGAAAATTTCTCATGCATTGTGTTCAGTTAATCTGGAAAAAGAAAGGCAAGAGATTCCGTTAAGAAAGTAAGGACTTTCTTCAGAGGTGAGCAAAAAGAGGAGGCGAAGGAAATAGAGAAAGAGACCTTCATCAGTTTGACAGAGCTGCGGAAACTTCTTTTGTCCCTTTTTTGTTTGGTTTTCTTATTTTCATGATTCATTTGTTCACAAAAGTCTTTTAAAATAACAATAGTAATGGAGGCTCATTGTAATAAGTCAAACAATACTTTGGTGTGTAAAGAAAATAATAATAGCCTTATGATGGGAGAGGAGGCAACTATAACAGCCACAGAATTTCTGAGACAGATTGAACATTGTTCTCTCCTCTTCATCTTTTGCTTCTTTCCCTTGGCCAGAGGGTTGATTGGATGCCAGAATCATGAATTGTACCTTGTTGAGTGCTGGGTAATTTTGTGTTCCTATAAATACTTTTGAACTCTTCTGGAATGCAGTTAAGATTCTTGAAAACAGTTGGATTGTTTCAGGTTTGCTTTTAAGCTCTGTTAGGCAGGACCAGAGCATGCTTGAGGACTACGTTTTTTCCCCCACTACTGAGGTGATATCCTTCTGAGTACTGCACTGGATACCTTGTGAATTTTGAGGCTTATTCTGACTGGTATAAACTATTCCAGACTTTGTGTGAGCTCCAAGGAGTGTTCCCTCTGCTCTTTTTAGGGGGCTCTTTTCCTGGCTGCCAGTGGTTTCCTTATAGGAATGCGCTGATCGGGACTCAGCTGAAAATTCAAGGAGATCCTCTAGTGATCCAGATATCTCTCTATCTCTCTGTCACTCTGTTGCTAACACCACCGCCCCCCACTCCCAGCCCCCGTCTCTCTTCTTTCACTCTCTCGCTCTCCAGCTGTCTTCTCTCTGGTACTCTGTCCTGCTACCTCTAACCACAGTGTCTTCCCTGGACTCCCAGCTGTGTCTTCTCAGCTCGGGGACACCACTGGCCTCCACTTGGGTTCCCCCACCCTGCGCTGCAACCTGGAAACTCTCACCAGGCAGCAAGATGGGGCAATCATAGGTTCACCTCATCTGTTTCCTCTCTCAGGGATCACTTTTCCGCGCTTCCTGATAGCCATGGAAAAAAACCCATTGTGTCTTTATTTTGTGTATTTACTTGTTTCAGGCTGGATGATCAATCTGGTCCTTACTAAGCCATTTTAGCTGGACTTGGCCAGGGGACTGGATCTAATCCAAGCTAGAAATTTAAGGTCCTCTCTCTCTCGAAATTGGGATTCTGCCATCCAAACATGAAGCCACAAGATGCGAGTGTACAAGAGAAAAATGAAACAAACCGAGGGGAGAAAAGAAGGGTGGAAAGAAGGCCAATGGCTTTGCAGTTCTCGTTCAAGTTCAAGACCATGGCATTTCTGCCATTACCTTTCTTGAGACATCTATGATGCCTGAGAGTAAAATCCCCTTTTCTGGTTAAAGTGTATTCAAATTGGATTCTACTACTTGGAGCAAAAGAGTTCTGACTCATACAGCATGCTTTCAGGCAAAGGTGAGAGGAGAAGGCAGTTGAAAGGGGGAAATGAAACCCTTTAATCAGTAGAGTACGTTCCCTTGGAAAGAAGAAGAACAGGGAGCCCAAGTAGACTTTGTTTTCTGTTGTGCAAGAGGAAAATAAATTTTGAGATAAAAAAGAAGGGAAGTTCTTTTGGACAATGGTATTGCTTGTCTCAATAAAGTATGCAGAAGTGTCCTGTAGCACATGAGTCAACAAAGTAGAATTTGAGTGCTTGAAGGGACTGGAAAGGTTGAGAGCAAGCACTGTAGGTAACGTGCCTGGGTGTCAGGCAGAGTAGGACAAGGGATTGGGTGCATCTTTGAGGGTCCTGTTGTGGTTAGAAATCATAGCTTTCCGGTAGAACCAACTTGTTGGTTCATGTGATTTTCTCCAACAATGAATGTTCAGTAGTCCAGGAACAGAGGCAGAGAAATGGACAGTAGGATTTGTCAAGATGACTGGGACTGTGCTCTGGCCCACTACTGCCTCTGTAATCACAGCAGCACCTTAGCTCTTTCAAAATCCCAAATACACACAAAAACACACAGAGAGACAGGATTATAGCTGCTAGACGCTACCAAGCTTCCAGTACTTTGAGGCCTCTGAAGTCCAAGCAAAAAAATAAGCCTTTTAACACATGAGGCTTAAGGACAGTATCAAGACCATGGCTTTCAACAATACCAGTGCAGAAGATGCACATCACTTGCTTGACTTGCCTGCTGTGTGGTCCCATATCACCTAGTGCCCAGATCTCTTCCTCCTCACAGGAGCTGTTCTGGCAGGAAGTGAGGGTGGAGCTGGACCAGTACCAAAAGATAAATTACATCTTTCATTTTCTTGTATCTTCCTGGTTCTCAACAAAGGTGCTACTCTACTTCAGGGAATAGTTAGGGAATATTTTGGAAATAAGCAGACATTTTTGTTTGTCACGATGATGTGACAAAGAGGAATGTGGGCCAGGGATGCTAGACATCCTGACATCCTGCAATACGTACAGAAAAATGAGGAACTGGCTGTGACTTCCAAATGTTCCACAGGACATTCATGTAAATGAAAAACCTATTTATAATTATCTGTGCCTAGCACCTGTTTCTGTGTTACAAATAAATACAACGTAATTCTCTTGAATTTTCCAGGAATGTAACCATCATGTAAATTGAAGGAAGATTGTTCTTTGTTTTGGCACCTTTACCAAGAGTTTTTCACTCTTTTAGATAATGATGTACCAGTGGTAATGCTGTTTGAGATTTTGTGTTTGAGTTGCCAGTGCTGCCCTACCATCTGTGTCAGCTTGCGTTAGTACTGTCCCTCCACAGTGATTTATAGCTGGTTGCATGCGCAGTATTGGTGACAATGTTATATCTTTCAGTATAGTTGTGCTTGAGCATTTACAAATGGAAATACATTATTTCATTATAGATTACATTCTATTTATTCTTTACATTACAATAAAGCCGTTATTTATAATTAGTATACTAGCTCGCTAGAGCTGTCATAACAAATTACCGCCGACTGGGAAGCTTAAACGGAGATTTATTTTCTCACAGTATGGAAGCTAGAAGTCTGAGATCAAGGTGTTGGCAGGGTTGGTTTTTTTCTTTGGGCTATGAAGGGAGAATCTGTTTCAGGCCTCTATTCTTCGCTTATCAATGGCTGTCTTTTCCCTGTGTCTTTGCATTGTCTTTCCTCCTATTGTGCTTGTGTCCAGATTTCCTCTTCTCGCCAAGTCATAATGGACCAAGGCCCACCCAGATGCCCTCATTTTAACTTAATTATCTCTTTAAAGATCTTGTCTCCAAATACAGTCCCATTCTGAGGTACTGGAAGTTAGGACTTCATCGTATGAATTTGAGGGGATGCAATTAATCCCATACAATTAGGTATATAGATCCATCATATTATATATTAATTTTATTTCAAGACAGTAAAAGAAGAATTATAGAAATATTTCTTCTAAAATGGGAAACATTGAGTCTGATAGGTTTGAGACCAACTGGTATAACTTATCAGTAGGACAATGGCAAATGGTGTGCCTCATAGGTGAGTGCTGCTCCTTACTTGTAATCACTAGCCCGACAGGGTTCACCCAGAACTGGCATGACAGAACACTAGGAGAGAGATTAGGAACGACGAATATCTGGCTATTGGATAAAAAGCAAGATAAGGGTTCAAACAAAGCTGACTCAGCTGGAGAAATAATGAAGAGGCCAGAAGAATGCTTTGCTCAAAAACCTTCAATAGTTTCTTATTTCCAAACTTTCTATAATCGGTGCCGCTTGACTTTTCCAACTTTATTGCTCTCTTGATCATCTCTAGCGCGTTCCCCTGGGAATCTGGGGAATCAGTCTTTTTCTTGTCTCAGAGACATCTTCACGTTATGTGTTCCCGTCCAAGAAATACCATGACTCGCTTCTTTCTTTCCAAATCTTTGTCAGTTTTCAAAGCCAGCTACAGGATTTTCTCACCTTGTAACTCCCTGCAACTTCCCTGAAACTAATAAAATTGAGTAATTCCTAAGTAGAGGAAAATCTGAAAAGATACACATGAAGAGGCCTTGAGGAAAGAGGGGTCCTAAGGAAGCTGAAATTATGGTTTACAAGCTATAAGGCAGCAGAACATATGCATAAGCATATAGAAGACCAAAGGAGTGAAATGACTTGTTAGCAATAAAAGGTTAGTAGCAGAGAGGAGAGTTACTGAGTGAGCATAATTGTGGTGCTGTTTGGGGTGTTGATGAGCTCTTGCTTCTGAAAGGGTTAATAACAGACTGTCTCTAGAGCT